GTGGAGGGACCTCGCCCAGCAGGTGTGGACGGGGCCGTGGCTTCTCTGTGTGGCTCTTGCTCAGCAGGAAGAAGTCCAGGTTCCAGGCTGGCACAGGTGTGGCTGCTGAGGGGAGGGGCGGCCGTGCACTGCGCGTGTGGGACCTGGAGCCAGGGCGCCACCTCGCTGCCGTGGTCTCGTGGCTGTCCTCCACGTGCAGGGCCCGGCGAAGCCTTCCTCTCTCCACGTGTTCTCTCCTGCTCGTCTTCCTCTCTTTTACCTGGGTTTGGAGAGGGCAGCGCTCCGCCATGTGCCAGATGTAGTACTCATCCTGGCGACTTCGAAGCTGGCCGCGCACAGTCCTGGCCGCGCTCCGAGCCTTGTCTCTGGCCTCCCGCGCTCACCGCCTGCAGCGGCTGTGCCGTGGGCCTTGCTGACCTCTGCGGGTGGGGGCCGGCCACTCTGGGCCCTTCCGTCTCCCTGGCGGGTCCCTTGTCCGCCACACCTTTGTCGCCTGGTGTGCATGAACCAAACCAGGACTGCCACACTCCTGCCCGTCCGTGGGCCCTGGGAGAGCAGGAGCATGCCTTCCTGCTTCCGCACGCTCTGCGGTGCGCGGTGACTGCCTGGCCGCTCTCCCACCAGGTCTGCGCTGGGACGGGGTGCTGCTGGCGGGAGGGAGAGTGGATTTCCGCGCAGCCCAGATGGCTGGGAGGCATGGGGCCGTCTGTGGTCTTCCCCAATGGGCACCTCTGCTTCCCACAGAGCTCTCTTCCTGCCTCGGTTTGACTCCAGGTGGACACGTGGGTGGTCCACGTGGGTCACACCCTCAGCTCCGCTCTCAGCTCGTGGTGTGTGTCTGCCCCAGGCCAGGCCTGCGAGGTCTGCGGCGGAGAGCCGGGGCCGACAGCGCCTCTGACCCACGCAGGGCGGGCGATGCTTGGGGGGTGCTGGCGCTCTCTGCCATTGGGGGCGGGGGGCTGCCGCGGACCAGGTGCCTCTGACCCACGCAGGGCGGGCGATGCTTGGGGGGTGCTGGCGCTCTCTGCCATTGGGGGCGGGGGGCTGCCGCGGACCAGGTGCCTCTGACCCACGCAGGGCGGGCGATGCTTGGGGGGTGCTGGCGCGCTCTGCCATGGGAGGGGCTGCCGCGGACCAGGTGCCTCTGACCCACGCAGGGCGGGCGATGCTTGGGGGGTGCTGGCGCGCTCTGCCATGGAGGGGCTGCCGCGGACCAGGTGCCTCTGACCCACACAGGGCGGGCGATGCTTGGGGGGTGCTGGCGCGCTCTGCCATGGGAGGGGGGCTGCCGCGGACCAGGTGCCTCTGACCCACGCAGGGCGGGCGATGCTTGGGGGGTGCTGGCGCTCTGCCATGGAGGGGCTGCCGCGGACCAGGTGCCTCTGACCCACGCAGGGCGGGCGATGCTTGGGGGGTGCTGGCGCTCTGCCATGGAGGGGCTGCCGCACACCGAGGTCGGGCGTGTGCAGGAGCCCAGTGGCTTGGCCCAGGTCCGTGTCGAAGGAGCGGCCCCAGGTTAGGGTGTGTGGATGATGTTCGGTGGGCTCCATGAGGCCCCTTCCCTCGGCCTGTGAACTCTGTGGTGTAGGTACCCACCCTGGCTCAGCGAGAAGGGACAGCCTGTGGGCCCTGAGGGTCCCACAGCCCGGGCAGGAGCTCACGGGTCCGTGTCCGTCTGGGCCCGAGAACATACCGCACACACTCGTGTCTTTTCTGAATTGGGTTCCTTCTGGGTGACTGACTTGGACAATGTTTTCACTCTTTGAAAAGGGGATCCCACACCCAGGAAGGCATGCCTGAGATGTTTCTGGAGTTGTGAGTCAGACTGTGAGCTATAAACACTTGAGAGAATGTGCGACCTTTCCGACTGACCGATTCGCCTCCCTGTGTCCACAGAGGGGCTTCCAGCATCTGGGTCCCCACCCCACAAACTTCATCTCCGTGGTTGCTTCCGAGAATGTTCTGTCCACATTTTTTCTTTAATCCTCACCCAGGGACATTTTTCCATTTTTTGTTCAGATAGAGTGGAGGAGAGAGAGGGAGAGAGAGAGAGAGAGAAACATCAATGTGAAAGGGACACATCGACTGGCTGCCTCCCGCACGACCAACCAGGGCCGGGGACAAACTGCAACCGAGGTACATGCCCTTAGCGGGAACCGAACCCGGGTCTCTCTGGACCGCAGGCCAATGCTCTAACCACTGAGAAAACTGTCCAGGGCTGTTCTGTTCACATTTTATGTGACCATCCGACTGTCCTTCCTTGTATCCTATTCCATAAATGCAGTTCCATCATTTACACGATCATGTCTTGTCCTTTCTTTTCTTGTGGAATTCAACCGCATCTGAGATTCTTTCTGAGTCGAAATGCCAAAAAAAAAAAATCATTAAAATTTACTTGCAATTATGTTAAGTTCACAGCATATAAATTCACGAAGTCAAAAAGCATTTAAAAGGGTCTGAATGTTTAAAAGCGTTAACACATTGACGTGCGTGCGGGGGGGTTGCGGGCCTCGTTCTCAGGAGAGGTGACTCTGAGTTAAACCTGGCGCAGTGGAGGGCTGTGTCCGGAAGGGAGCGTGGCCTGGTGTTTCGAGGTGACCCTGAGTTAAACCTGGCGCAGTGGAGGGCTGTGTCCGGAAGGGAGCGTGGCCTGGTGTTTCGAGGTGACTCTGAGTTAAACCTGGCGCAGTGGAGGGCTGTGTCCGGAAGGGAGCGACCCTGGTGTTTCCTGGTACGCTCACTGCCATTCACTTGTGACTTTCTAGATCTGCACTTGCAGTTATGTTTTTCTGCAAAGAAGCGAAGGCCCTGAGGCAGCCTGTCAGTTCACAGCGTGTTCAGTTGCATTGTTCGGGGTTGGTCTCCTTCAGCAACCCTTGTAACTTCTCCCTTTGAACGTGTGGTGATGTTGCTATGGGAACAGTGACATCATGGGTATGCACGGGGCTCAGTGACCACGAGAGGGCTGTGGTTCCGGCCAGCGACGGAGCCCGGTTCTGTGGGCTGTGTTGTCGGCAGCTCGACGTGTACCCGCCGGGAGGGCAGCATGTGTGCAGCGGGGGTCCGGGCGCCCCGCGTGGAGTGAGTGAGTGTGTGTGCGACTGAGATGAGTCCTGCTTCCCCGCCTGCAGGGGAGCCTGGGAGGTTGGTCCCGCTGTCTGTGGGAGGAATGAGGGGGGCTCCACGCCCAGCATTGGGCGGCTGGGCCCACGGGCTGGCAGGGCCGCGTGAGCACAGACAGGAGCTCTGCAGCTCCGTGACGGGCGTGACGGAGGGTGGCGCAGCGTGGCCATAGCGGCACGCGGCCAGCGTTCTCTCGACGTAAGGGACGCCTGACGAACAGAGCACGGGCGGTGCCGGGCGGGTCAGAGCCAGGTCACAGCACCTCACGCACACGCACCTCATGCACCCGCGGTGTGGTCACAGCGCAGTGCACGGGCGGTGTCAGTTCACTGACCAGTGTCACCCCGACAATCCGGCTTAAACCCAGGGGTCTGGACGCTGCACTCCTGCCTGCTGACCACGCCCTTTCCCTGGTGGTCTCCCAGGGCTCAGGCCGAGCTCGCACCCCCTCTCCTGACTGTTGGCGGGGTGGAGCATACTTGATGTTAAAGGCTGCGAATCCTTGAGAACCGAGTCAGAAGGTTGCCTGTCTTCATAACTCCCCTTGTCGCTAGTCCAGGAAAAAAAAAAAAAGCCGTGCTTACAAAGTAATGAGACTCTTGATGCTGTAATTTACATGTTGGTTCTAAAATAGCTTCTTAAGGGAGATTTCCTCAACGCTTCAGGAGATGATCACGCTTCAGGAGATGATCTGCTCCCCAGGGGACTGTTCAGGGGTGAGCATTACGTGGGTACTGGTTCGGGTACACTTGACCAAAGTCTGTCCCTGATAAACGTGGTCTTAGTCGGTTTGCCCAAACCGAACGCCCGGGACCGGGTGGCCTATGAACCGCTGGACTGTGGCTCTCACAGCTGGAGGCTGGAGTCCGAGGCCCTGGCAAAGGTGCAGACGGTGGTTTTCTCACTGTGCCCGGCGTGGCGGCGAGGGCGGGGAGCTGTCTGGGGTCTTCTTACGTCACCGCTGTTCAGCTCGGGAGACGACAGGCGTGCTCCTGGCCTGTCTCGTCTCTGCCGGAGCAGCTGCCCTCTGGCCCGAGGACACAGCCTGGATGGCGCCCCCTTGAGGCTGCCGCTGTCTGCTCTCCAGAAATGCCTCCCTCCCCCAAGCTCTGTCCCCCCTTCTTGAGGTTGCAAACAGCAGTGAGTGCGATGTTCCTGCCTGGAGCCCTGAGTGCGCACAGGGGCCGACCCTGCCTTCTGGTGAGGGTGCCCTTCCCAGGCATGTGTCCTGGATGTGCGGTGGCAGGAAGCAGCGGGGAAACGGGGGGGGGAGGGGGACTGTCACAGGCTCAGGCTCCCCACTGAGTGGCCAGAGCAAGTCCTGGACCCTGTGAAGTCATTTCCCACAAACTCCTGCTCCCCACCTTCCTGAGACGGAAGGGGTGCCGCACCTCACAGGTGCAGGTGCAGGTGCAGGTGCAGGTGTGGCACACGAGCTGAGCGAGTGGAGGACGAATGGATGGTCTTGGTTCCTGGGGCCAGGATTCTGGGCCAGTGGGAAATGCAGGGGTGTTGGGCAACACACGAAGCTCGGGAGAGTCGGGGGTACAGGTTCTGGGTCATGTTTTCACATTGTGGGGCCAACACCACCTCCCACGCCAGGTCGGTTTCATCTTCCGGAACAGAGACTGCTCCATTACCCCCCCTCCCCCCACACCCCGAGTGCTGAGCAGTCAGACCGGGGCCCATTCCAGGTCCCTGTTCGGACCCTGAGTGTCTGAGCCCCACCTGCTTCCACATCACCCGGGGGCTCTGTGTGCCAGGAGCCGCACCAGCCCGGCCATCGGGCCATCGGTGGCCTTCTGTCTGAGTCCGAGCGGCAGGGCCCTGCAGAGGCTCCGGGCTGACCGCATTCTCTGCTCCCTTCTCCCCTGCAGTATGAGTTCAAGGCCAAGAACATCAAGAAGAAGAAAGTGAGCGTCATGGTCTCAGTGGACGGGGTGAAAGTGATTCTGAAGAAGAAGAAAAAGGTAGGTGTCTGACCCGGGAACAAGTCTCTTCTCCTCCTCTGACTGCTCTGGGCGGACCCCGGCCCTGGCCCCCCTTCCCGGCCGTGGTCTGCTGACAGCTCGGCGGACAGACTGCCACTGGGCCTCTGCTCCCCTCACACCCACACACTCACACACTCCACGCCCCGTCTCTCGGTGATGACACTGGGTCAGGGAGAGGCGGGGCTGTGTCCCTGGGCCTGATGAGGGCGCAGGTCCGAGAACCAGGCCTGAGGGGACGCGGGCAAGTGTGCTGAGTGCAAAGCTGTCGCCGGCGGGTGCAGGCTGTGCACGGCCAGGGACCGGGTGTGAGGCCGCGGTGGGCCGCGGGCTGTCTGGGGACCTCACGGCCCAGTCTCCTCGCTTCCACGCCGGCTCCAGTGCCCGGCTCCCGGGCGGCCTCTGGTGCCACAGCTGGAGCCGCGCTCCGCCGCCTGTTAGACCGCTCGGCGCTGCCCGCTGTGCGCGGGGTGCCCGGGGGCAGAATCAGTGGCTCAGTGGCGTGAGTGCTTGTACGTGAGTGTGTGTGTGCGCGCGCACATCTCTGCGTACCAGGTGTGTACAGCGTTGTGTTTGGGCAGAGCTGCTGGGGAAATGCTTCTTCCTGGTCCCCCCTGTCCCGAGTGGGGCCTCAGTCTCCACATCCCAGTGCCCTGAGAGTGGCGGCCGTGCACGGGCTCTGAGACCCTCGGAACTGGCCACATGCACCGGACAGTCCGGCTCCCAGCGTCTCCCTCTCCTCATCCTCGTCCGTGGCAGATGAGTGTGTGCCTCCCGCTGGATGTCACCCAGCCCTCCCCGACCCACTGGGTGCTCCCCACCTCGTCAAGCACCCAGTGTCCCCCGCTCCCACCTCTGCTGCTCCCCCGCTGCTCCGGGGCCGCCTGTGTTCACAGCCCGAGGTTCACAGTGGAGCGAACACCTTGTGGCTGCAGGGGAGCTGGTTCCCTCCCCGGCCCGCACCCAGCCCCCCTTCCTTGAAGGGAAGGCGGGCCTGCGTCTCCTGCCACTCACAGCATGGCTCCTCCCTCCCGCTTGTCCTGACTGAGAGGCCTCTGCACCTGGAGACTGTTAAAGTGCTTGACCAGCGGGTGCGAGCAGACCTGTGACCTTCACATGACCTTTGATTGGGCTGCAGGCCTCCAGGGAGAGTGAGGCCAGGAGCAGACACGTGTCCTGGGGCCCTGCAGCCAAGGACAAGCCTGGCTTATTCATCTACAGCTTCTTCTGTTGCAGAAAAAGGAGTGGACGTGGGACGAGAGCAAGATGCTGGTGATGCAGGACCCCATCTATAGGTAGGAGCCGCAGTGCAGAGCTGCTGGGCCCTCCCGCACCACCCTGGGCACTCGGTGCCCTGCTTCCCCTCCGGGCACAGCGCAGGTCCCTGTCCCTGAGCCTCTGCGTTGAGGGGAACGTGTGCAAGGGGCTGTGGACTCTGCCTGCGTCTCACCCAGTCTCGGGGCCACCGAGACCTCGTCTGTGTCAGCTCTGCCCCAACTGGATCCGTAGCTGCGTGTACGTGACTGAGAGAGGACGGGGTTTCCGTCCCCCCCGGGGTTTCACGCGGGGTCTGTCCCACTGTCTGCCCCTCACCAGCTCAGCGCAGAGGAGGGGCTGCGATCACGGGAAAGCGGGAGGGCACACGTGGACTCCCCGAATCGCTTCCACAGGGAGACTGGCGGGGTGCCTGCAGATTAGGTGACTGCCCCCACGTGCGCCCGCATCTGTCCGGGATCTCTGTGGACCCAGCCCTGTGCTGCCCCTCCCAAGGCACTGGGCGCCGGCTGCTCCTGCAGGGTGTTCGGGACCTCGATTTCAGTTGTGATTTCGTCTCCCCTCAAACCACTTGCATGGCTGACAGAGTGGGCTGGGCTGGGCCGCGGCCGAGACGCCGGCAGCAGGGGGCCCGGCCCCGGTCAGAGTGGAGATGTCCGTGAGGCCGGCCTCCTTCCCCCAGGAGACGTGACATGCGCCAGGCACCGTGCCGGTGATCTCGTCGTCACCAGCGGGGAGGGCGCCGTCCTGGGCTCGTGCACTGGGTGGCAGGGGGACGGGGTCCGGACCCGTCACCACACAGGGCGCGTGTGGCCATGAACTCTGTGTCCCCGTGGAACTTGCCGTGTTGCTGAAATTATGGTCACGATGCTGAAGGGGTGTTTGGGGATCCCAGCGCGGCCCCAAGTGAACGGAGAGGTTGCCTGTCACCTCAGGACACTGGGAAGAGGGTGGGGCTGGAGTGGCAGCCTGAACGCAGGGGTCCCGGAGGGCCGTCCTGTCTGGGCGGCGGGACAGGAACCCCAGTGACCCCGGTCCTCAAGCTCTGAGCACCACCCACAAAGGTGGGGCCCACGCGTGCCCTGAGCTCCCCAGTACCCGAGGGCCTGCACAGACCGGCACACAGTAGGTGCTTCATGAACAGCACAACACGCTCGGGCAGGTGTGGCCTCTTGCTCGCGTCGCTGCCGTGCTCACTGCAGAAGGGCCGCAACCCCTCCTCTGGCCCAAAGCACAGCCCGAGGGAGCTGCTGGGCAGCGAGCGGACGGGCCAGCAGCAGAGTGGATATGGCGGGGACTCGCCCTGGTCCCCCCGGCTCCAGGCAGACCTGCTGCTCTGAGGATGGAGCGAGTTTCCTCTAGCACAGGTGTCAGCGGACAGGACGGCTCCTGGGAACCACAGGGGTCCCTGTCCCCAGGCCAGCCGGCTGCTCCCGGAGCCTAAGATGGGCCGCCTGCCTCCGCTTCCCGGGAAGCCTCCTCTGAGGCCGGGTCAGCGAGCTCCGCCCGGCGGCCTGCGCGGAGCTCCCCTGTGGCGCCGGCTGCCCGTGCTCAGGGCGTGTCTGCTGCCGTCCCTGCAGGATCTTCTACGTCTCCCACGACTCCCAGGACCTGAAGATCTTCAGCTACATCGCTCGAGACGGCGCCAGCAACGTCTTCAGGTGCAACGTCTTCAAGTCCAAGAAGAAGGTAAGGGGCCGTGGCCGCCACCTGGGGCTCCCTCTGGCGGACCCCATGCCCCACACGGACCTGTCTCCTGCAGACAGGCAGGACCTGGGGCGGCTGCTCCCGTGGGAGACGTGGGATGTCTCAGCGACGTGTCGTCACCCCGCGTGGTGACTCGCGCTGCATTCGTCCGCACTTTGTACTCAGTTACCTGCGACGGGGACGGGTTCCCCCTGGGCCGGTGCTCAGGCGAGGGACTAGGAGTGAGCCGCTCTCCAGGGGCCTCCTCACCCTGGGGTCCCCGATGAGGCGCTGCAAGGCATGATGGCGCGTGATCCAGGCAGCACATGGTTTAGGCGGCATGTGGCTCAGGCGGCGCGGGACCCAGGCAGCACATGGTTTAGGCGGCGCGTGGCTCAGGTGGCGCGTGGCTCAGGTGGCGCGTGGCCCAGGCAGCACATGGTTTAGGCGGCATGTGGCTCAGGTGGCGCGGGACCCAGGCAGCACATGGTTTAGGCGGCGCGTGGCTCAGGTGGCGCGTGGCTCAGGTGGCGCGGGACCCAGGCAGTGTGTGGCTCAGGTGGCGCGTGGCTCAGGTGGTATGTGACTTAGGTGGCGTGCGGCAGCGGTGTCCTGGGTGGCTGCTTTTGCACGGTGACTTTGATTGTCAGTAAATGAACGTGGGCAGCTGTGGGGCCTGCTTCCTCTCCCCGTCCAGGGGTCCTGTGCAAACCCAGGGTGGCAGCCAGGGTTTCGCCCAGCCCTCCGCAGCCTGAACCTGTCCTGTGGGTCGCTGCCCCCAGGGTCTCAGCCTCCTCATCTGTAAGGCCAGGAGGAGTCAGTCAGTGTTTCCTGAAATGCACCCTGTAAAACATTTGTACCCCAAATGCTTGTGGTAGCCCAGTCCTGCTTAAACTTGTGGAAGTCCCGAAGTTAGGGAGCCCTCTGCCTTGGTTTAACCCAGCGCTTCTCAAGCCGACGTGCCGTGGAGTCGTGTTCCCATGATGCGTGTTGACGTCCAGGAACCGTTTTCCACAGAAGGAAGGTCACACACTGTTTATGCCTCGAGGGCCCGTCGGTTCTGCCGTTCGAGCCCGTCCACCAGGCCCTCCACACAGCCTCCCCCATGCTCTGTGCCTCAGGCATCTTCGTGGGTTTGTAGGCGCCTGGTCACAGCGGGACAGCGAGCAGCACACGTGGCAGGTCTGAGCTCTGTCTGTCCCACCGGCCGGCTCCACAGGGACTTGCACGTGGCCGGCGTAGCCCTGGCGCCTGGGCCTGGACGGACAGGGGACAGACGGGACACAGGATGAGGACCCTGCCACCCAGTCCCTCGGCTTTCCCAGGTCTCCCGGCTCACAGCTAGTCCTGGCCTCGGCTCTGCCCCTGTCCCTGCCCCTGCCCCACCTGCTGTGCTGAGACCTGCAGGAGCAGGCGCAGACCCTCAGCTGGCCGGTCTGCAGACGTGCTGGGCCCGAGCCCCTCGGCTGGCCTCCAGCTGGAGGGCCGGCCGTGCCCACGGGCGAGGTGAACCCCGCACAGGAAGCCGCGTGGGCAGGGTGGAGGCACCCTGGCTGGGAGAGAGCAGGCCGGGGAGGAGCGGTGGCGGGACTCACAGGAACACTGGGAGGGGCCCGATGAGGGCGCTGTCAGCGCACATCTCGGGCCGGAGCCCTCGCCTGTCACAGGGGGTGACCTGCGGGAGCCCCCCGTGCCTGGGCCTCACCCCTCCTGTCGCGCCGGGTCCCCGCGGGATGGTCTGCCGACAGCTCGTGTGGGTGCCCTCGGCCCAGCGCAGCGCAGGGACGGGCTGTGTCCTGCTGGCTGGGAACGTGGCTCAGGCGTCAGCCTTCATGGCTGCGGGCTGCCCTGCACCTGCAAGTCGGACCCGCTCCGAAGCGGAACTGCCCCGTCGGGAGCAGTATCCCGGCTCTGCCCCCATCGAGCCATGTGATCGGGGCCCTCAGATCCCCTGCTGGGCAGACCGGCCCTCCGGTCCAGAGCCCAGGGCTGGCTCCCCGCTCTGGGGAAGCCCACACTCCTTTCTCGCTTCGGGGTCGGACTCGATTAGTGATAGACGTGAGCTTCTGTCTGTTACCGAGCTTTGTGAAGCGCAGGAAAGAAATGTGGCCGTCAGCGCTACCGTGGGACGCGCTGCGGTGGTCAGGGTCCAGGTAGGGCACTGTGCTCATCGCGGTGACAGCTGCGCTGTTCTGCGGCAGCCTGCCGGACCTCCGTCCCCAGAGCTCAGGAGCCTCAGCAGGCGACCGTGATGCTCCGAGACAGCCAGCCTTGCGTGTGGCGGCCCCTCCCACGGCCAGCCGCACGGTCCGTCCTCTCCTGGCCGTGGGGTGCAGGTGCTGGGTCAGGCTCCCTCTCACTGTTCAGGGAACAGGTTGAACAGCCAAACAGAAGAAAGGAGGTACAGATGGGCCCAGGTGAGGGCTCACTGTACACCGAGACGCTGCCGGTGCTGTTCCCGGGGTCTGGGGCTCTGGCTTCAGCTGCTTCTGCTGTGCCGACCAGTGTCTCAGCCCGTGTCCCCGTTGCCGGGCCAGGCTCCAGGGAGCCCCCCGAGCAGCAGGAAGCCTGGTGGTGGCCCAGCCGCTTTTGCGCGAGGACCCCGAGCACGTGCTGGCGGGCGGCCAGGGCTCCGGAGCCTGTGGGCTGGCGCTTCTGCCGCACTTGGGGGCTGCGAGCCCAGGTGGAAGGGGGTGTTCACTTTATCCTCACTGACCAGCTGTTTTGGGCCGTGGTGCCGGTGGCTGCTGTCTGCTGCTGGGAAGGGCAGGGTCCGCGCTCCCTGTGCGAGGACAGGTCTCCGGGGCGTTCCCAGCCCCCCACGCCTGCCCTCGCGCGTCCCTGGTCCTCGCCGGGGCTCCCGTGGCCTTCACCCACGTCTCTCCTTCCCAGAGCCAGGCGATGCGGATCGTGCGGACGGTGGGGCAGGCCTTCGAGGTGTGCCACAAGCTGAGCCTGCAGCACACGCAGCAGAGCGCGGACGGCCAGGAGGACGGGGACAGCGAGGGGCCCAGGGACGGGGACCCAGGTAGGCTCGCCGCTGCGAGGGGCAGGCTCGGTCACTGGACATGGCGCTGTCCTGTCGCTCTGAGTCCACGTCTCTGAGGGTGTGCGGGCGCCGGTCGCACAGTGAGCGGCGTCCACCTGCAGACGGGCAGCCTCCGCGTTCTGCCAGGTCTGACGCCCAGGGCACCTGTTCCCGAGCACCTTCCTGGGACGTCAGCAGGAGTGGCCTTGTGGCCACCGCGCCCCGTCCCGTCTGACTGCACGCTCTGAGCCTCCCAGTGGACGTTATCTCAGCTTCACGGCCGCACCTGGAGGGCCCAGGCAGAGAAGCTGAGCGGGTGGAATAGCAGCACCTGGTGACCATTCCCACAAGTGACAGGGCTGCACACGAGGCTCAGCTTTGTGGCAGCGTGTTCTCCACCCTGAGAATGCGATCTACATGGAGAGACATCCGGGCCGCCTCTGGGAGGGCCCGTCAGGCCAGGCCGCGCCTTCCGTCTAGTTGAGGGTGCTATAGGCAGCGCTGGGGGGCCTCCAGGGCCGTGGGTTCCCGCTGGGGCTGGCCAAGCTCCCTGAGGGCACATGGGGGCCTCCGACCTCCTGGAAGGTGGACGTGGCCTGCGGGTGATGGAGGTTGTGTCAGTCGGGAGACTCACGCACATGCACACGCATACGCTCTTGCTCACGTTAAGGGGTTGGCGCAAGTGCTTGTGGAAGGTTACAATCTGCAGGGCGGCCACCGGCTGGAGACTCAGGGTGGAGCTGCGGTTCGAGTAGGTCAGTCTTTGTGCTGCTGAGGCCTTCGCCTGATAGGCGGGGCCCACCCACACCAGGGCGGGGGTGGGGTGGGTGTGTGGGGAGTCGTCTGCTTTGCTCAAAGTCTGCTGGTTGAAATGCTCGTCTCACCTGAGAAGCACCTGTTGCAGTGTGGCGCAGCCACGATGGCCACACTCACCACCACAGAGAGGACACGGTGGCGGCAGTGGGGGTGCTGGCCACAGAAGCAGCTGGACCTGGGTTCTGGCACCCAGAGGGTGGGGCTGGAACCTGGTCCCTGCCCCCTCTCAGCTGAGGAATCAGGTCACATCAGGCTCCCTGTCTTACCTGCCAGCACCTGCACGGTGAGCGCCCTTCGCTCCCAGTTCCCATGAGACACTCCGCCCACCTCTGCAGGGAGGGAGGCCTCTGGGGCGACAGGCTCATCACGTGACTGTCAGGTGCCCCGATGGCAGGGCAGTGCCCAGCTGCCGGGTGAGCCCTTTGAGGACTGGTACTCGGAATCAGAACATCTGGGGCAGCAGGCTCCCCATCCCGAAGGCTGCTGACTGCCACCTGGTGGCCCATCCTGGCCCCATGGCTCCGGGTGTCCAGGACGCCCACGGGTTCCGCGGGGTTCTCTGCCGCGGGTGCCTGAAGCTCCACAGTCCTTTTGTGGGCTGGCAGGTTTGATTTGTTCCCAGAATCTCGCGTCCACATCCGGGAGCGTTCGGCTCGGTGGTGTCGTCTCCCGGGCGGCCGGCCCGGGGTGCAGAGGACACGAGTTGCTGGGAGCGGGCGCTCGGGCATGGCGCTCTCTGCCAGGGTGCCCGCTTCTCCCCTCCTCCCTGGCCCTGCCTGGGCCGACTGTCTTTTGTGTGTCTGGCAGCAGCTGCCCTGGCCAGTCCCAGGGCTCGAGCCGGCGGGGCCGCTTTGCCTGTGCGTTTCCTGGACTCCTGAGGGTTTCCAGGGAGAGGCTGTTCCCATGGAGGCAGCTCCCCTCCCGCAGGGCAGAGTAGAGCTTCTGGAAAATGACTCTCCGTCCAGACAGGGACAGTTATTGTGGACCTGTGACCTCTGCTGGACCTAGACATCGTCCTCACTTGTACTTCTCCTCACACTTGGCCCCCTCCTCACACACCTGCCCCCTCCTCACACACCTGCCCCCTCCTCACACACCTGCCTCACACACCTGCCCCTCCTCACACACCTGCTCCCTCCTCACACACCTGCCCCCTCCTCACACACCTGCCCCTCCTCACACACCTGCCCCTCCTCACACACCTGCTCCCTCCTCACACACCTGCCCCCTCCTCACACACCTGCCCCCTCCTCACACACCTGCCCCTCCTCACACACCTGCTCCCTCCTCACACACCTGCCCCCTCCTCACACACCTGCTCCCTCCTCACACACCTGCTCCCTCCTCACACACCTGCCCCCTCCTCACACACCTGCTCCTCCTCACACACCTGCCCCTCCTCACACACCTGCCCCCCTCCTCACACACCCACCCCCTCCTCACACACCCGCCCCCTCCTCACACACCCGCCCCCTCCTCACACACCTGCTCCTCCTCACACACCTGCTCCCTCCTCACACACCTGCTCCCTCCTCACACACCTGCTCCCTCCTCACACACCTGCCCCTCCTCACACACCTGCCCCTCCCCACACACCTGCCCCTCCCCACACACCTGCCCCTCCCCACACACCTGCCCCTCCCCACACACCTGCCCCTCCCCACACACCTGCCCCTCCTCACACACCTGCCGCCCCTCACACACCTGCCCCCCCTCACACACCTGCCCCCTCCTCACACACCTGCCCCTCCTCACACACCTGCCCCTCCTCACACACCTGCCCCTCCCCACACACCCGGCCCCTCCCCACACACCCGGCCCCTCCCCACACACCCGCCCCTCCTCACACACCCGCGCCCCTCCTCACACACCCGCGCCCCTCCTCACACACCCGCGCCCCTCCTCACACACCCGCCCCTCCTCACACACCCGCCCCTCCTCACACACCCGCCCCCTCCTCACACACCCGCCACCTCCTCACACACCCGCACCTCCTCACACACCCGCACCTCCTCACACACCCGCACCTCCTCACACACCCACCTCCTCACACACCCACCTCCTCACACACCCGCCCCCTCCTCACACACCCGCCCCCTCCTCACACACCCGCCCCCTCCTCACACACCCGGCCCCCTCCTCACACACCCGGCCCTCTCCTCACACACCCGGCCCCTCCTCACACACCTGCCCCCTCCTCACACACGCCCCCCTCCTCACACACACGCCCCCCTCCTCACACACACGCCCCCGCCTCACACACCTGCCCCGCCTCACACACCTGCCCCTCGCCTCACACACCTGCCCCTCCTCACACACCTGCCCCTCGCCTCACACACCTGCCCCGCCTCACACACCTGCCCCCGCCTCACACACCTGCCCCCTCCTCACACACCTGCCCCTCCTCACACACCTGCCCCTCCTCACACACCTGCCCCCTCCTCACACACCTGCCCCTCCTCACACACCTGCTCCCTCCTCACACACCTGCCCCCTCCTCACACACCTGCCCCTCCTCACACACCTGCCCCTCCTCACACACCTGCCCCCTCCTCACACACCTGCCCCCTCCTCACACACCTGCCCCTCCTCACACACCTGCTCCCTCCTCACACACCTGCCCCCTCCTCACACACCTGTGCCTCCCATTACACCTGCGCCTCTCTTCTCAGGTTGGTTTTGAGGATAAAATTAGTTACTACATGTAAAACCCTTAAATTAGTGCCTGGAAAATAGTAAGTGCTGTTTAGGCAGTGCTATTGTAGTTTTGAGGCAAAAAGTGGCCATTTTAAGCACTTTGGACTGAACTGATCACCTTTGCAAAACTGGAAAGAATGGACATCTTTGGGAGTCATTCACCTGCTATCAGTCCTTCAGGGTGAATCCCGACCCTGGCTGGCTGGGTCCCTCCACATGGGGCCGTTCTGCCCTGTGGCTCCATCCCCCATGCCACCTGCCTGAGCTGCTCCTGGGCCCTGGCCCCTCTTCCGTCTCACGGGCACATGGCCTCCTGGGCCTGCGGTTCATGTCTGCCCCTCCGTGAGGCCGGGCGGTGGAAGCAGGACTGGCTTTCTTGGCTCCGTGCCCGTGGGCTCCTGTCACACCCAGCTCCCGAGCAGGCTGCCGAGCAGAGGGGTGGGCGGACCTGGCCTGCTCCTTGGGCAAAGGCAGAGTCAGGCCCTGGGGCAGGGCCCCTCCTACCGACAGTCCCCGGGGCACTCACTCCGGAGCGGGGTGAGCGGAGATGACGGCCCCCTTCTCCCAGGGCCCCCACACGCTTCAGCACCAGGACGCCCCGTCCTTGCTCCTGGATAAGAACAGACGGCATCTTACTGGGCTGGAAACTTAAGGACTCGCCTGAAAACACCGGCGAGAGGGGACGGAAGCCAGTGGCCTTCCCTGGGTCCAGGAAAGACGTCGTTCAGCGTCCCGTGCCCTTCCGACCCTTCCCCGCCTTCTCTGCTGTCCTGCAGGCCGCCAGCTGACCGGGGCGGAGAGGGCCTCCCCAGCCACCGCGGAGGAGACGGACATCGATGCCGCAGAGGGCCCGCTGCCCGGCAGCGCCGGCCTGGACTGCAGCCGAGGGGTGACCGACCTGGACGCCGTGGGGAAGGAGGGCGGCTCCCACGCAGGCTCCCAGGTGGGCAGGGCGGCCCCTCGGGTCGCACCTCACAGCTCACGCGAGGCGGCGGACGCCCCGGGCTCCTGACATAACCCAGACGAGACTCAGAGAGCTGCAGACTGGATCCAACCCGAAACAAAACAAACAGCCCAGAGGCCGGATTCTGACAGCCGTCCGCCCGGGCCCAGCCAGGCTGCCGTCACGGTGCCCGGTGCCAGCTCAGGGGCCAGGTCGCTGGGCGGAAGCCTGCCTGTCGGGAGGGCAGCTGCATCCCAGGTGGTCTGCCCGTCCAGCGGCAGCAGTCAGAACTGCCTCCCGTCTGCAGTGCCTCCTTCCCTGGGGGCTGCCGCTGCTGTCCTCACGCTCCCGGGGCCACACCTTAGAAACAGGCCCTGAGGACGAGCCCCGAGGACGCTCGGAGGAAGGGGTGCTGCCTCGGCCACCCCCACGCTGGGGGGTGGGAGCTGTGTGGGCAGAAATAGGTCCCTCATGTCCAGAACCGAAGGAACTCAGCCCTGTGGCAGCTAGAGGTGGGGGCAGGAGAGGGGCCAGGTCCCCAGTCTGTGTCCCTCCCTGCGGAGCAGGTACTGAGGTGTTGAAACAGGGTGTCCTGCCTGCGGTCCCCCTGGGGCCTGTCCCACTTCCACCCAGGGCGTACGTCCAGCCCTCGGTCATGGGTGAGACGTCTTCCTAAGACCCCTGTAGGTGCCACCGTGTACCAGGCGAGCGAGGTCCCCGGAGGCCCTGCCCAGGGTCACGCCTGGTCTCTGCCTCCACAGGCGCTGCCCCCGGAGCCCGTGCCCTCCGCCTCGCCCCGGATGCTGCTGCCCCCGCCCTGCGTGCCGGCCCCGGGCGCCGGGACGCCGCTGTCCTCACAGCACCAGCTGCAGCTCCTGCACCAGCTCCTCCAGCAGCAGCAGCAGCAGACGCAAGTGGCCGTGGCCCAGGTCCTGCTCAGCCTCCTCCCCACCTCCCGGCTGCGCACTCACGGGCTGGACGCGCCCCCCCGCGAGGGCCCAGGGCAGGTCTAAGGCAGAGCCTAGGCATCGCTCAGCTTGGTCTCCTGCTTGTGGGGCTGGGGCTGGGGAGGGGAGGTGGGTGCGAGCAGAGGGTTCCCGCGTGTCCCCCCTGAGCTGGGCTTGGCTGTCTGGGCCGGATGCGGTTAGGGGACGGGGACTGACCGAGGGCAGGTGCACCGTCCCCCTCTCCTGCTCACCCCCTGCTGGAGGGAAGGAGGGTGGCTTTGCATCGGTTTGCTGTGACCCTGAGACCCGCCTTCAAGGAGCTCAGTGTGAACGTGCGCAGATGCCCTGTGGAGACCTTGCCCCCTCCCCCCGCGTCAGGAGCCTGTCACACGGTCCCCGCACCTCCGCTAGCGCTCAGGTGTTCCGGGCGGGGTCACGGTGTTCACGTGACCGGCCCGGAGTTCACGGTGGGGACTGGCTCCTGGGAACTCAGCTGTAGAATTCGAGCCACGGGGAGCAGGGGCTGAGGTCTGAGGAACAGAGTTGCTTGAGCCCCAGAGACTTGCTGGGGTGGCGCTGGTTTGCAGAGGAGGGTGAGCGATTCCCGCTGCCTCCTGCATCCTTCTGCCTGGGGAGGGCCCCGGAGTCCGCATCGTCCTGGGCAGCCGGGGACGGGTGGGGACCCGACTCCCAAGGTCTGAGTCCGACCGCGTCTGTCTGGAGGGCTGGGCGGAGGCAGGGAGGACCTTGGGGTTGTGGATGTGGGGCCGGACCCAGGTGTGTCGACCAGACCGGCCGCAGGGCTTCCTGTGCTCTGAGGGCAGGTGTGATCCCTCAGCTTCTGCTTCCACCTCTCCTGGGCTGGGCGGGCGCATCGCCCCGCAGCGCGGCCCCTCCCGCGCCCCGAGCAGGCAGCCTGGCCGGACGGGGTGGCCTCAGCTCGGGTCCTGGAGAGACTGGAAAGTCCTCGCTGACCTGGGCCTCGGGTGCCTTCTGTAGCCATGGCATCAGTGGGCACTGCTCCCAAGTGGTTGGCCTCCTGGGACTCCTGACCAGGAGCGGAGGCCGTGTGGGGGCTCAAGGTGGCAGGGCTCCCAAGCGGCAGCTCAGAGGAGGACACCACCCGACATTCGGAGAACGCGCTGCGCTCTGTCCAGTACCAGAGCCCGTCTCTGGGCACTGCCGCGTGGCTCCCCACAGCCACCTCCGGGCTTGGCACTGACGTCAGTACAAGCCTGGGCTCAGCCACCTGCCACTCACATCCCCGCTCGAAGCCGTTTCAAGTACAAACGTCCGGCATGTCTGCTGCCAAGTGATTGTTCATCCAGAGCGGACTTTCGCATATTAGTCGTGAGCATCATCGGAGACCTTCTGGCTTCACAGTCCCTCTGAAGGGCATGAGGGCAGGTCACACCCATCTGCACAGCAGGGGGTCCCTGGGCCTGGGGCCTCTCAGGCTTCCCGCTGTGCGGCGGGGACCTCGCTGCCCTGGCCCTCGCCTCGAAGATGGGACTGGGAGGGGAGGCCGTGGTGCTGGTGGTGGCCTCCGGCCTCAGTCCAGCCGTGTCCAGGCTGCACACAGCCTGTGACCAGGATCTGCTGGTTGTCGTCGGCACTGCCCGGGTCGACTCTGTCAGGCAGCGGCACGTTGAGAAGGCCACCCCGCAGGGCAGCGTGCCCCCACAGGAGAGCTGGCTGTGGGCGGGCACAGACTCCCCCAGCCCCGTCCAGCTTGGGCAGGACCTGAGGTCACCGCGGCTTCCGGACATGGGCCCCCTCCCTGCTGTCCCTCAGGGCCTCTTCCTGTGAGGGCAGCAGGGCGCCCTTGTCCCCGTCAACTGCTGGTCCTCCAGACAGCTGCTGCCCGCCCACTGCCTGCGGCCGGCCTCTCCGCACCCTCTCCCGCCCAAAGGCGCCTCTTCCCCGGCTGCCAGGACCCGCATCTGTGGGCACAGGCCGCTCTGTGAGAAGCAGTGGTTCACAGACGTCCGTGGTGTCTCCCACGCACTTAAAGCAGACGAGATCTGGCCGCCTGGCGTCCGCTCCAGGCAGCTCATCTGTGGTCCGACCAACACTCTGTTGCCACCAGACTGCAGGGTTTCCTGCTCCATTGGACACAGGGTCCCAGCGCCGCCGTGGGTGTGCTGTGACCTCACCCTCCGGTGGGGGACACGCTTTCCTTCTCTCTGGGAGCCTCCGCGGGCTCCTGGGAAGAGCTGGCGATAACGACAGTTCCTTGCAAACACGATGCCCCGGGCCCCTTCTACGCTACTTACCCTTCAGGCCAGTCCCGCTCCGCTCCTGTCTCCGGCCTTAGACACCCCCAATGGGGTCCTGACGGTCTCAGACCTCAGCCTCTCCCGGCCACTCCCTGCTGGTTCCCAGCTGGTTCAGAAGGGCCGCCCTGGCCGTAGAGGAACTCGGCAAAGGTGTCACAGGTGTCGTTCGTCTGCCCCCATTTCCAGGTTAGACCTCTGTGTGCCCACAGTGGGCACTGAGCCCTCTCCTGCCCCCCCCAGCATGAGGCCTCCTGGCTGCCCTGGCTCCTGCTCCCCGTGCGCCCCACGCGCCCCACGGCAAGGCTGTGAACGGCTGCGGGACTGCATGGCCTGCGCTGGGTCCACGCAGCTCCAGGTCGCTCCGGCCCAGCTGACTGGCTGCAGGGGGGCGGCTGCCTTCCTTCCCGGTGGCCGGTCCCTGGCTGAGCTCGTGAGAACGTGGGTGCTGCTCAGTATTGCTCTGGATTTCTCCTTGTGCTCGGTCTGAACCGAGGGTGGTTCCCAGGGGCGGTTCTGGAAGCTTGCGGTCGCCTGTACTGTGGTTAGAGAAATGGCCCGAAAACCCTGTGGTCAGTGGCTGCTCCTGTCCCAGCTCCCCGCCCAGCTCCCCCGTGCATGCTGCACCCCTGCATGTGTGCAGGTGGGGCCCCACCACTCCCTGTGCCCGAGCCTCCTGACCCGCCCGGCCCTGCTCCCACTGCGACAGAGGAGCTGGAGTCCAGGCAAGTAGCAGAGCGAGGGCAGGGGCAGGGGCAGGCGGGCTGGGGGTGGGGCCAGAGTCTCAGGAGCACAGAGCTGGGGCTGGGCACCCGGCTGGGCTCGGCCGCTGGCTGCCTGTGGCCAGAACAGTTGTCAGCAGAGCCCAGGGGTCTGCAGGGGAGCAGCCTGCACCTTCGTGGAAGGTGCTCAGGACCAGTAAGGAAGGTGCCGGGCACAAAGGGACCGCCGCCTGCAGGGCGGGGCTGTGAGCTCCCAGAGCTGGACCCAGGCCGGTCTCGAGTGCGCAGGCCTCCGCAGCGGCGGGAGCCCGGCCCGCGGGTGCCAGGCAGGGCAGAGGCCCCGTCACAGTGGTTCCCGATGGCGCCGCTGTGGTTCCGCGTTCCCAGGGCAGGGCAATGCCGGGGAGCCCTCCCTGCGTCGGCCGAGTCTCCCTTCACCTGGCACCGGCCACCCGGCCACCGGGGGCGGAGTCACAGACCATGCAGCTGCTGGGCTGGGAGGTGGAGACAGTGAGGTCCAGGGGAGCTGGGGTGCAGCTGCGGCGGCGTCTCCGGGGCGAACTGCTCTTCGGAGTGTGGGGCCTTTGTGGTCCGTCGGCTCCTGGGCTCCTCGTCCCACCGGCCCCCCTCTAACCCCGTCTGCCTGACCCCGGCCTTGATCCACACCCGTCGTTTTGGCCCAAGAAAACCCCTTTCCCACGGGCTGCCTTACCCCCGCCACGTTCATGAGCTTCCTCTCTTCAGGGACCTTCTGGAACCTTCCACAGACCTCTGAATGCCCTTCTAGGCACAGGGTCCCTGTGGGAACATCCTTACTGCCTGTGCTGTTCTCCCAAGGAGCTCCTCCTGCGGGGTGTCTCCCCACCCCGCACCCCAGGGGCCGCCAGAGAGCACAGGGGCCGGAGGCAGTCCTGGGCCGTGGGCATGGAAAGGGGGGAGGGTCAGGGCCGAAGCTGGCCCCGGGCACCTCAGTGTGGGAGGGGCCGTTGGGGCTTCCACGGCCTGGTGTGTGTGGTGCGAGGAAGGGCGAGCTGGAGGTCAGCGGGTCAGTGGTGGTGCCAGCGCATCACAGCCCAGGTGCCGCTCGCCGGATGGAGCGTGGGTGAGCGTGGCCCGCGTGCCGAACGCGCTCATCCGCTGTCCCCCGCCTGCAGGTTCACCTGCTGAAGGACCAGCTGGCGGCGGAGGCGGCAGCGCGGCTGGAGGCGCAGGCCCGCGTGCACCAGCTGCTGCTGCAGAACAAGGACGCGCTGCAGCACGTATCCCTGCTGGTCCGGCAGGTGCAGGAGCTGGAGCTGAAGCTGTCGGGACAGAACGCCAGTAAGCTGCTGCGCCTGGGCACCCGGGCCACCACCTGGCCTTCCCGGGAGCCTGTGGCGCCGCCCTGCCGGGTGTTCCCGCAGAAGCCACAGGCGGCTCTGCCTGCCGTCCACGCAGGCGGCCCTGGCCCTGCCAGCACAGGGCAGCGCGAGTCTCGGCCGCCCCTCGTCCAGTGCCAGGCACGGTCAGGGCCCCAGCCTCCCTGCTGGGCTCAGCGGCCACCCTGAGGTCCTTCCCGTGGACACACCGAGCACTGCGGTGGGACGTGCCCCGTGGGCGCCTGGACGTGGCTGTAGGGCTCGCTGTGCGCTCGGCCCCTCAGCACAGCGCAGAGCAGGCAGTACGGCCCCTAGCGGCCGGCAGAGGCGCTGCTGGCCACGCGCCGGCCTGTGCTCAGCTGCCCCAGGCTCGCCGGGAAGCACACTGCACACCGCCCTCCTGCGCCTCCAGGGGCCTTCGGGGTGCGCTGGGGTCCGTTCTGGACGTGAGGGAACCGCTCAGACAGGCAGAGACGGAAGGTTCAAATGATCTGATCACAGGACGAATGCCCCCCATGATCCAGCAGCGCCCGGAGCTGCCCTGCAGCTTCTCTGAGGCAGCACCCCCGAGACGACACCGGTGCCTCTGGGCGGGCTGGGCTCTGCTTTCACAGCCCAGAGCATGCGATAGGGACCCACTGCCCGTCCCCCCAGGGAGCTCTCTGGACTGTTCTGGTCCCTTGGGCCTCCCCATGGGGCTTGGTGCTGATCCCAAGGTCACACCGAAGGTCATGTGCTGCTGACACGCAGCCCATCCACCCGAGGTGGCCCTGTCACCCTGCCTTGACCGCACCCCGGACGTGGTGGGTGGGAGGGCGGGAGCCAGGAGGCAGCTCAGCTGGTCCGGGGGGCCCGGCAGCCTCCCCCCACCGCACGCTTACCCTCCCCTCTGTCGGCAGTGGGATCGCAGGACAGCTTGCTGGAGATCACCTTCCGCTCCGGAGCCCTGCCCGTGCTCTGCGACCCGACGACCCCCAAGCCGGAGGACCTGCCCTCGCCACCCCTGGGCGCCGGCCTGGGCCCGCCCGCGGGCAGCCCCTTCGGTAGGCACGACTGCCCCGTGAAGCTGGAGTGCTTCCGCTTCCCCGGGGCGCGGGGCCGGCCGCTGCTGGGCGGCCTGGAGCTGCTGCGGTTCCGGGAGTCAGGCATCGCCTCTGAGTGCGAGTCCACCACGGACGAGAGCGAGGAGGAGCCGCCGCGCCTGAGGCACGTGCGGCCGCGCCAGGAGCTGGGCGACAGCCTGGAGGACGAGGTTGCCGTGTAGAGCGCCGCGGACTGTGGGGCGGGCGGCGCCCACTGGCTCCTGGCGCAGCGGTGGGCTCCAGGAGGATGAGGATCTGCCTGGAGGGTGAAGCGGAGAAGGTGGAGGCCCAGCGCCTCCCACAGCTGTGGGCAGGCACCAGGGAGCGGCCCGAGGGCCAGCAGGAGGGGAGTCGTGTGCCTCTCCGGTGCCTGGTGTCTGGACACCAGGGACGCTGCCGGCCGCCTCCCGCCGACCCCATGGGCGCGGGTCCTCCGGCCCTGCAGACGCTGGAGGCCGAACACTGGTCGAGACAGGCAGGATGTCCTTCCGTGGGAGTGGACGTGGGTCAGCTCTCGGGTGACCTGCACCCAAATGTTGTTTTCTGTGTTCGGTGTGAGTGTGCGTCCCAGGGAGACAGTGCATGATGTTGGTCAGGCCCTGCTGTGGGGGACAGTCTCTGTGCTGTGGTCAGTAGGTCCACGTCTTCCCCGTCCACGTCCTGCCTGTTAACTCAGCCCCATGAGGGGCAGGCTGTCCCCTGTCCCGCGTCCCTGTCCCCTTATCCTCTGTGTCCCCCTCCCCTGTGTCCCCTCTTCCTTTGTGTCCCCCATCCCATGTCCCCTGTCCCCCCTCCTTTGTGTCCCTTCCCGTGTCCCCCCTCCCGTGTCCCTTCTCCTCTTTGTTCCCCCTCCCATGTCCCCCTCCCATGTCCCTCTCCCCTGTGTCCCCCCTCCCATGTCCCCCTCCCTTGTGTCGCCCCCTCTCCCCATGTACCCCTCCCATGTCCCCGCCCCACATCCCCCTCCTTTGTGTCCCCCCTCTCCCCATGTACCCCCTCCCATGTCCTCCTTCCTGTGTCCCTCTCCCCTGTGTCCCCCCTCCCGTGTCCCCCTCCCTTGTGTCCCCCCTCTCCCCATGTACCCCCTCCCATGTCCCCCCTCCCACGTCCCCCTGTCCCTTGCCCACTCTCTCGTGTGGCCAGGTAGTGAGGGCAGGCTCCTTTGCATGGTGCTGTCTGAGGGTCAGTGGGCGAGGATGGAGGCGCTGAGCCCTAACCCTGCGGACAGCTGGACAGTCCAGGTGTGAGGAGATAGTGCAGCTGTGTCAGCCTGCTGTGCACCAGGCATCGGGCAGGACAGGTGTGTGCTGTGTGCACGTGTGTGAGGGGAGGGAGACGCATGTTGGCGTGTGAGTGACGGACAGGAGAAGGGGCGTCCAGGGCTGTGGTTCACCAGAGACGTGTGTTCTTTTCCTGAAGTCCGTCTGGTCAGAGAGGGCGGTTCTGTTCCATTTGTTTTATTTTCTGATTAACCTCTGGAGGTGGGTCCAGACACGGGGCAAGGAGAAGCAGGTACCTGAGACCCCAGACCCCGAGGATGGCGGTCGGGACGTGGCTTGGCTGGGGGGCAGGCCCATGTCTCCTTGGGTGGGTCCCTCGGGCACCAGAGTTGAGAGTTCAGAGCGCGGAAGACCTGGCTCCAAGGCCCTTCCCAGGCCCGTGGATTGGGGGTGATGTGTGGACGTGGGCTGGACGCAGAGGGGTCCACTGCCTGACAAGCTTGTGAAGGGGTCGGAGGCGGTCGTGGAGGAGGGGACACTGTTCCTGTGACGCTGGCTCTGCCCTTTGGCACCTCGCCCCCGGTGTGCCCCGGGCCTCCAGACGGCTGCCAAGTCCCAGCCTGTCCCCAGGGGACCCAGACCAGCACCCGCTGGGGTGGAGCTGGGGCCCAGGATGGATCTGGGGGCCTTGTCACTGCCTTGCTTTTCCTCGTGCTCACTGAGCGCAACTGCTTCTCACCCTCCTGCCCTGCCTGTGCGGACGGCAAGTGGACACCAGGCGCCGGCCTTGGTGCTCAGCCCAGCGCCTGCAGGGCGGACAGACGGACAGCTGCCCCTGCAGGGCCCTCCGCACAGCCCCTGGCCCCCAGGCTCTCCCTGCTCCTGGGCGGGGTCTGCTCCTTCCCTTCGCTCTGGCCCTGCCCCTGCTGTGGGCGCTGGGGCGCAGAGACTGTCCCTGTAAGTGCACTTACTCCCTCCCGGGGCTGCGGCTCCTCTGGGGCTTCTGCTAATAAACTCTCTCACCTCTGACTGCTCTGCCTCTGCTCTGCCTCACTGCTCCTCCTCCTCGCTGCCCCAGTTCCCAGGCCGGGACGTGGCTCCCAGGCGCGGTGAGGGAGCGTCCGTGTGACCCGAAGGCTGTATGCGGGGACCAGCCGCGTGCTTGTCCGGGGACACGTGTCCTGCGGGGACACGCTTGCTGTCACAGTGGAGGAGGGAGGTTGGCAGGTGGCGGGGGAGCCGAGGACGCTGTCAGCCGTGCGGGGATGAGACACCTGTTGGCAGTTTTCCTGGCTCAGACAGCGCTGGGCTTGTGGTGGTGGCAGCCAGTCTGAGTGCTCGGGAAGCGACACCCCGCTGCTGGGAACTAACACGCCGCCGCCAAGTGACACCTCCCTCCGGGTTCCTGTGCGAGGGCCCGGCTCTCTACCCCCTGCTCCGAGGCCAAGCAGGCGGCCCCGGTGGAGGCTGGGGGTCAGGGCCACAGGCTGCACTGCAGGAGGGAAGGACGGGGAGGGTGCAGGGGAGCGCGGGCAGGTCACCAGGTCAGGCCAGGCTCAGGGCTCAAGCCAGCAGGCAGTGGGGGCTGGGGGTTCGGGGCAGCAGGTTGATGAGGTTACGGTAGGTCGGGGTAGGCTGCACAGAGGGCCGCGGGAACGTCAGGCCACAGGGAGGCCCAGGTGAGCGAGGGCAGGGGCATGCGTCCTCGGGCGAGCGCTGAGCCCAGTGCCTGCCGGCTGCCCCCGCTCCCGGGAGGTCACGTTTGCGCGTGTCCACCTGCGTGTTGCTGTGACTCCACAGGTGTGAGAGGCCCTGGTCTGTGCCGCTTCTGCGTGAGGGACGTGAGGTGGCCGAGCCTGTGCGCCGGGCCCGGCATCCCCCTCTCCCCCCCATGGACCCTCCTGGCCTTCAGCTGGGCCTAGGCTGTCCTGCTGGTGGACAGGAAGGAGGGGCGTCCCCGCAGGGGGGGCGAAGGCGGCACAGAGGCCAGTCTGAGGGCCTGGGTCCCCCCAGGCAGCACCGCAGGCACCTGGAGGCCTGAGAAGGGCCTCTCTGAAGGGTCCCAGGGCTGGCAGTGCTGGTCTGAGCCCCTCAGTGTGAGGCCTCGGCGGATCTCCCCAAACTTCAGGTGTTGGGGAGAGGGGGAGGGGGAGAGAGAGGGGCAGGCCCAAGATGTGGGCCTGGGGTTGCTAGGCAACTGGTAGCTGAATGGGGCAGGGGGTCCGGCCTGGACAGAGAGGGACAGCGGCGGAGCTGTGGTAACAGGTTTATTGGTCTCTCCCTGGAGACATAAAGAGGCGCCGGCCCCGCTGGCCTGGCTGCAGGCCTACTTGCGGGCCTGACCGCTGCCCAAGGACGGCCTGTCCGCCGGCCGGGCCCAGAGGGCCTTCAGCTTGCGGTAGAAGACCCTGCAGCTGAAACCCTCCCTGGAGCCGCGCCGGATGTGGCCCCGGAGGGAGCAGAGCGTGGGGTACATGCGGCAGCAGGCCGCGCACTTGAAGCCGTTTTGCTGGGCGGGGAGCCCGCGGGAGGCCCTCAGGATGTCCTGGGACGTGATGTGGTCCGTGGCGTCCCCGGGCCTGGACGTCTTGGCCTCCCGGGGGCAGGTGTCCTCTGGGGACGAGGAGGACGAGCACACGCTCTCGACCGCATCCTCGGGAAGGCAGCCGTCTCCCCGGCCCTCATCCCGCAGCGGCTCCGGGCAGCTGTGGGCCTCCGGGTGGCTGCCCCTGTCCACGCACACAAAGTAGCTGTAGGGGGAGAACCACGGCCGGTAGACAGTGCAGCTGCGCCTCAGCTGCTCCCCATTCTGGGGGTCTCCCAGTGTGCAGTCTGCAAAGGAGAGGGCGGGGTCTGAGCCTGGGCGCAGGCAGGGCAGGGGCCAGGGGCAGCAGTGAGGGGGCTCTCGGCCACCTGCGCCCTGCCCGGCGGGGCGTGGTCAGAGCACCTTCCCACGGGCGCTTGCTCTAAGGACAGACAGCCGGGCACAGCAAGCAGCCAGCCTCAGGCCTCCACGGCCCCTCCTGCCCTGGTACATGGCCGCTGTCCCTGCCCCACCCCTGCCGCAGCCCAGGCAGCAGCTCGTCCCCCCCAGGAGCTGGGAGGGCAGCACCCGAGGCTGCGCAGCCCGCGGGTCTCTGCAGGGGGGGCCAGAGAGGGCATGAAGGTCAGCGCCAGGCACCTGTCCCAGGGACAGCCCTGTCCCCACTTCTCCTGGGCCCCCAGGGGCTCACCTGGGGAGAGGACCACGCCCTGCCGGAGCGCACTGCTTGGGGGCAGAGGCGGCGGGGTCTGCGCCGGGCAGCTGGCTTCCGTGGGGAACACGGTCTTGGCGATGTCTGGGGGCAGAGAAACGCTCTGGGTCACTGAGCGAGGTTGGGAGTCGGCTTGGTCCCACCCAGCACACACCTCCACCCCCGTGGGTGCTTTCGCACAAGGCCGGGGTGAAGCACGGCCCCCCCTGCCCCAGGTCTGCTCTGGTCATGGCCTGAGGCTGCGACATGGTCCGTCTGCCAGCCCTGGAGGTCGTTTCTGCGACGGAAACAGCAGAGTGTGTGCAGGGACCCTGGTCGCCCGCCAGCCACACCCTGGGTGCCGCTGACACTGGATAAACAGCCACCAGCCTCCAGGCTCGGGCAGGGGCCGCCCGGTGTGCAGCCACACTCCGTGCACTGCTGGGGGGGGGGTGTCGGGGGAGAGTCCCGTGTACGAGTCTTGTAGCACCCACGAGAAGCCCAGACCCCATATCTCTGGGGCCTGTGCGGCGCCAGGGCTCACCTGGCAGGCTGGTGCCTCGCGAGGACAGGGGGTCAGGGAAGGTGCTCAGGGTGGAGGCGGAGGCGCGAGGCCCCGAGATGCTGAGGAGCGAGAAGGTCTCCATGCTCTGACTAGTGCGCAGGTGAGGCGGCTCCCAGGGTCCCTGCGCTGCCCGGCAACCAGCATTCCGAGCGCAGGCGACATCACAGGCAGGGCCCCGGGTTCCGCCCTGCGAGGCCCCTCCCGCTGCCTGACCTCTGCCTGACCTCTGCCACCAGTGTTCTGTGCTTGGCCTTGTTTCTGGCGTTTTGGGTTGAGGTATACGTTTCACGTGTTCTTAGGAAATAATTGTAAACTTATAAGAAGTTGTGAAAACAAAATTAGTGCAAAGAACCTGTGGGCCGGGTGCAGGTTTTCCCACTGTGACCCCGCCCATGTCCGTCCGCTCCCCCCTTGTCTGGGTGCCCCTCCCCCAGCTGTTGGAAGGTCCTAGGAGAGCGACCGGAGGCGGCTTCCCGGGGTGGGCGTCTCTGCTTAGAAGCGACTGGCGTCCTGCCCTGGGCTCACGGTGAGACCTGGGGGAGAAGACATAGCCACCAGCCCGTGAGGGGCTCCGTGAGGGTGTTCAGTCGGTGTGCACCCCGCTTAGCTCTCGGGGGGCAGGACTGTGCATGGGCCCCGCCCGTCAGGAGCAGCCGTGGGTGTGGGTGTGGGTGAGCTGCTGTGGGGAACCCTGGGGGTTGTCCTGTGTGCAGCACCTAGCCAGCCGCCTACAGGACTCTGAGAGCTCGGGTCTGAGTTGGGAACCCCACTCCACCCTCAGCCCCCCACCGTGTGGTGCTGGGGGACCCCTCGGCCCCTGGCTTCCCCTGTGTCAATTCAGACATGGGCTTGGACGACCATCCTCCTGGTCTGGAAAGTAGTAACTGATGTGTGGGAAAGAGACGGCCTGGTAACGAGGGAGGTGCACGGGGTCCCGAGGACACGCGGGCGACCCGGCCCGGCCCAGGGTGTCCCACGGGCACCTGGGAGGCCGACGCTCGTGGGAGGGAGCGGAGGCTGGCCCAGCTGCTCCGAGAGCTGTCAGGGGCTCTGCTGGTCACTTGTGGAGCAGTTGGTGGGGCCTGGCCCCGGGGCAGCGAGGGTGCGGGCCTCTGTCCTGCGCCCTGTGTGCGTGGCATGCTGCTGGCCCGGGCCGCAGGTGCCCGCTGGAGTGGGCGTCACTGCATAAACTGTCTCTCTCGTTTGCTCCCCTGCTTTCCGAGCCCCCTCCTCGGTCGCTCAGGTAAGACACCGTCTTTCTTACAAATGGCTACGTTCCCAGATTACTGTGCATGTTGAGGGGAGGGCTGTGGGTCCCCCTTGCCACCGTATTCTCAACCACTGAGCCTCTGGTCCTGCCGACGGGGTGGGGGGACAGAGAGTGGGGTCCTCGGTGCCCCCGCAGGGAAGGGGCCACTGCTGATGCCTGGGAGGTGGGGGTGAAGGAGCCACAGACAGAGCCCACGCTGGGGAGCAGGGCAGCCCCTGCCGCCTGACCCCGGAGCCCCAGCAGACCAGTCCCCAGGGTGGGGTCGGGGAGGCTGGGCAGCTTGTACACTGAGAAAGGCTGGGAAGCAGTTTCTGCCCGTCCTCAGCCCAGCAGGCAGCGGTCTTTGAGTGTTCGTATAAAGTCAGTCCCGTCCAGTCCAGCCAGCTAGTAAACACCTCCTGTTGTCCCAGGCCCTGTTCTGAGCATGGCCAAAATGAAGCCACGTCCGGTGCTCCGTCCCCACTGTGGCGACGGCGTGGTCACCGGGAAGACAGGGAGGTTGTGCGGACAGCGCACAGGGGCTGTCTGGGTCCTGGCGAGCGTGGCAGGGCCTCCGGAGGGCCGTGCGCCAGAGGCAGGGTGGCCCGGGGCGCCCGGTCCAAACAGCCACTTCCGTTCATCAGGATTGTTTGTGAATGATGACAGCAGGGCTCAGTTTGCACACCACTCAGACAGGTGCTTTTAGGAATGCCCGTCTGCTCTGAACATTCTCCGTAAACCAATAGGGAAGCAGTGTGGACGTGTCTGAGCCAGAGGTGGGGGTCCACCCTCTCCACTGTGGTCCGAACACCTGCTTTGAGGGAAACAGGTGAATGAATACCTTAGCCTTTCCCGAGGCTTCTCTGCTAGTCTGCAGGCGTCACGGTTACAGAAAATTTACGAGGTTGCGAGGTGTGCAGTAGGCAAATTATGCAGAAGAGAATACAAGCCACCCTCCTTGAGGGGGAGCAGGAGGCTGCGAGCCTTCCTGGGGTGAGATGGGCCTTGTGCCAGTGGGCGGGGCCACCCCACACCGGCCAGCTCTGCGGGCCCTCAGGCCCCGCCTCACAGCGGTGCTTCCCCTGCACAGGGGTCGGACTGTGAGGTCATCGCAGGGGGGTCTCCGCACCTCTTCCCACAGCCTCTTCCTGCCACCCAAAGGCCCTTAGCATACAGCTGACCTAGGTCGTTGGCTCAGAAGGGATTCCTCTGCCCGGAGTCCTCCCGTGCCCAGGCCTCAGCAGTGCAGGGCAGAGGGCTGCTTCATGTGGAAGTCGGGGGAAACGTGCCCCTGACCTCAGTTCCTCTTAGGAAGGCCCGGCGAGGACACGTGGCAGAGGTGCTGGCCAGGTCAGGCCCTGGGACCAAGCCAACCCCCCGCCCCAGCCCCACAAGCCTGCAGAGCGGGTCAGGACAGAAGCCCGTGCTGCTTGCAGGGCTGGGGGCTGCCTACCTTGTGGGGTGGGCCTGCCCCAGTGGGGGAGGAGGCCGTGGAGTGTGAACAGCGTGGCGTCGGAGCCCTGGGCTCCAGCCTCTGTGAATACGAACCCTGAGCACATGTCTCCACCTGCAAAACGGGCTCGGAACTCAGCTCGAGATGCACCGAGCGCCTGCGGCGTGTGCGACCAGGCCCTGGAGGACACGGAGATGAACGAGGCCCTGCCCTTCGAGTGCTGACAGCCAGTGGGCCTGGGCCCGGCCCTTTGAACGGATCAGTCCAGCCAAAGGGGCCCCCGCGGGAGGGACCGTCCACGGGGCAGTTTAGGCAAAGCTCGCAGGGCAGAGTCAGAGTGCTGTCTGGCCTCAGGGGGGAGTCCCTCCCGCTGCAGCCGGCCAGGTCTTCCTGGGCACAAGGAGACTGAGTGAGCTGTGCTTGCCGGCTCCTGCGTCATGAGCGCCCTCGGGCAGCTGGCCCGCTGACCCAGCCCACCCCGGGTCCAGCCAGGGCCGGCATCGCCACCCTGCGGTGCTGTCCGGGCTCGAGGCTGTCCGCCCACACTGCTCGGGGCAGCGGACAGACGTCCGGTTTGTTCCTCTCGCCCCACTGGGCTCACAGCCCCGCGGGGGCTGCGGGCCAGGGCAGGTTCGGAGCACGGGGGAGCCTTCCCTGGCCGCAGCCATCAGAGACACACTTGGGCTGGCAGGTCAGACTTTCGGTCCCAGGTCCCACCCGAAACCTGGGCGGGAAGGTTCGGGCGGCTTCCTGACTCTTTCTGCGGATGTTTCCAGATCCCAGGCGTGGGGAGCTCTGGGTGCGGCTGAGGGAGGGACCCGGAACGCGGCGATCCGAGCCTGCGCCCCTCACGTGCATCTCTGTCTCTGTTCGTAGTGGACCACAGCACGTTTGAGAATCTGAACGCGTCCCTCACGCCGAAGCTGCAGTCCAGCCGCTCTGTGCCCCACTTGGCCAGGCTGGGGGCTCCCTCCGCTATAGCCCCGGGGTCTGTGGAGCCGGGCGGGCCGGGCCTCTGGGTGGGCAGCAGCCAGCACCTCAGGAACCTGGGCAGAGCTGTGGGGGCCAAGGTGAATGACTTCCTGCGGAGGAGGGAGGCCTCGGGCCTGGGCAGCGTGGGCACCATGGAGGTCAACAGGACAGCAGAGGCCCAGCTGGCCGGCGCGCCCAACGGGGAGGATGACAGGTGAGTACACCTCCTGCCCAAGCATCCCGCAGGACCCGCCCGGGGTCGTTGCACAGCTCTGACCTCAAGCGAGGTGTCACGCTGCCCGGAGAGAGTGGGTGAGGTCAGAGTGCAGCGGGGGAGGCGAGCGTGGCGGGCGGGTGGCCCTGGTCAGACGTGCAGGGGATGGTCACCCTTACAGGCCGGCCCTGTCGGACGCCTTCCCTCGGCTGGACCCTCCACCCCCCATAACTCGGAAGCGAACCCCCCGGGCCCTGAAGACCACGCAGGACATGCTGATCTCTTCACAGCCGGTCCTGAGCGACCTGGAGTGCGGGACGGAGCTGTCCCATGGGCAGCCCCAGGACTCCCCTCCCACTGCCCAGCCTGTCCCAACGGACGCTCCACAGCTGGAGGCCATGGCAGAAATGGCCCTGCCCAACGGGGAGGTTCCCCTGTCGGTGCCCGACCTGCTCCACCAGGAGGGCCAAGAGGAGTCCAAGCTGAAGGCCCCCGAGGGCAGCAGGGCCCGCCCCCCGGGCCCCGTGGACAGGAGCAGCCTCCAGCTCAGCCTGAGCCCCATGCGCCTGGCCGAGCTGCCACAGGACAGCAGCCCCCGCCCTGGGGCGCGGACCTGCAGCCTGGACGGCGAGGGGCCCCACCCGGACCTGCTGTCCTTCGAGTAGAGCCCCTCTTCCAGCAGAGCTTCCCTGCGCCCCCCCCTCACCCCAGCCCGTGGGTCCCGCACCGGCCCCCGGCAGGCCCCCAGGCTGGCGCCGGGCCTGAGCCCTGTTGTCCTAGGATGTCCTTGACCTCACTTCTGTGGGCTCTGCTGCTGGCGGAGCCAATGGACACAGCTCCGGCCGGGGTGAAGGGCCGGTTCTCCCTGTCTGTCCCCACAGGCCTGCTCTGGTCCCCCCGCCCGCTCTCCTCCAGCCTCAGGAACCGTGTGGATTGGGAATGATGCGTGTGGCGTGCCGATGGCCCAGGCCGGGAGAGCCCCCGGTCCTGTCAGTGCAGGCTCGGCTGTCCCGTGCCTTGTCCCGTGAGGGTGCTTCTCAGGCCAGAGGCCCCGAGGCAGCGTGTGGCTGGGTTCTCGGGGTGTCTCCCACCTGCCAGGTGGACAGCAGTGAGGCTCAGGGTTCAGGGCCATCCTGCGGGCCCTGGAGAGGCTGTCCCAGGCTCCACTGTGCGAAGAGGCCCCCATTCTGAGCTTCCCAGGGCTCCCCGCTGCCTGAAGTGATGAGCTCTAGGGTCTGCGTGTGGGGTGCAGACTGAGGTCGGGGTGCAGACTGCGGTCGGGGTGCAGACTGAGGTTGGGGTGCAGATGGAAGTCAGGGTGCAGACAGCCCGGCTGCAGACTGAGGTCGGGGTACAGGCAGCCAGGGTGCTGACAGCCGGGGTGCAGACTGAGGTTGGGGTGCACACGGTAACCGTGGGACAAAGTGCCTTTAATTCGCGGCAGGTGTCGCTCTGGTGCCGAAATAGCCTCCTGCCCGCATCTCTGGGGCCTCGCCTGCCTTCCAACCGTGGTGCCTTTGGAGCTGTGAGGGGCTGGCCTCTGGGGTCCCCACTCTGTTCTTGTCTCCCCCAGGGGTCCTGTCCTGCTGTCTTCCTGTTGCCAGGACACCCTGTCGGGGCAGCCCCCACCCTGGGGGCCTTTGCAGCAACAAGAGAACTTCCCTGCCCTTGAGCAGGTGCCACCCAGGGCTCCTCCTCCAGCCCCTGCTCACTGTGGGCTTCCCCTCAGTCACTCCCCACATCTCCCAGGAGTCCTTGCTCCCCTCCACCCCCCACCATCTCCCTGCCACACCTACCCTCTCCCCACCCACCTGGAGCCCCCCACCATATCCCTTCTCCTCTCCCCTCCCCCCACCATCTCCCATCCATGCCCACCCACCTGGAGCCCCCCCCACGGGACCCCTCTCCCACCCCCTGGAGCCCCCCCTGGAGCCCTCCCCCACCCCCTGGAGCCCCCCACTGGACCCCTCCCCCACCCCCTGGAGCCCCCCACTGGACCCCTCCCCCACCCACCTGGAGCCCCCCCGGAGCCCTTCCCCCACCCCCTGGAGCCCCACACTGGACCCCTCCCCCACCCTCTGGAGCCCCCCACTGGACCCCTCCCCCACCCCCTGGAGCCCCCCACTGGACCCCTCCCCCACCCACCTGGAGCCCCCCCGGAGCCCCTCCCCCACCCCCTGGAGCCCCCCACACACTCACCTCTGCAGCCAGGGGATCTGTGCCTCCTCCCTCCCATCCCGTCTTCCATTCCTATCACCCCGAGCTCACAGGGAAGCCTGGCCTCCCCACAAGGGTCCCTGATGTGGGCACCCCAGGCTGGTCAGCTGAGCAGGCTGACTGGGTCCTGCTTCCTCCAGGGGAGTCACTCGGACGTGACCCCACCACCACCCGCTGTGCACTCGTCCTCAGTCCTCGGGCTCACTGTGCACTGCCTGGCCCGATCCCAGGACGCGCAGGCTTCCGCACAGAACGTGGGGCCTGGGCAGAGGGCCTCCTGCAGTGCGGGGAGCAAGCCCAGCTGCCCAGGGCCGTTTGCTCCCGCTGGAGAGCTGCCTCCTCCCCAGAGACCAGGGTGGCTCTGGCCCTGACCCTGTGGCTGAGGGTCAGACATCAAGGGCCTGCTGCCCTGAGCTCCCTGCCCCTCACACCACACTCAGGCTCATCCACGTCCGGCCCCCAGACCAGGCGGTCCCAGGACCACGCCAGGCGACCCCGAGTTCCTGAGGCGCCTGTCTGATGCTGGCAGGGGATGAGGGTCCCGCCTTGTGCACCAGCTGGGCCTCTCGGGACGCCTCACGCTCCAGCAGCAGGGCCGGTGCTGCTGCCCGAGGCTGGTGCAGACAGGCGGGCACTGCACCTGCGCCAGGGCAGGCCGGAGGGCACGTGACCCTGCTGAGGCCACGACTCAGACCCACCCTGCACAGAGCTCACCTGTTTCCACGTCTGTCCGCACCCGATGGCCGCCTCCCGGCAGGACCCCGAGTGAGCTTCTCCGGGAGCCTGCCCACGCAGGACAGCGTTCTGTGTCCACAGAGAAAGTTGGGGCCACTGCCTTTCTCCCCGCCCTGTGTCCCCTGTCCAGCCCAGCTGTGCCCCACAGGCCCTGGGGGGGTGAGACAGGTGCACCTGTAATCCCTCAGCCTCGCACGAACAGACCTTGCCCCGCCTGGGGAGGAGGAGGGTTGCAGAGCTATCCTGAGAATTTTCTAGAGATTTTATATTTATATTTTTAGTAGTTTTCTGCTACAAGGCAGCACAATAAAATCTGTCTGGTTTTGCTGGTTTGGTCTTTGTCCTGATGGGCGGGAGCGGCTGGTGTTCTGAGCGGGGGCTCCAGGAGTCTGGGGACCGTGCTGCGAGGGGGCCGGATCTCGAGGAGACTGTCAGCCTCGGGCCCTGGAGAGAGGTCCCCGAAACGGCCAAGTAAGTGCCCCGCTCCCCACCCACCTGGCCCGCGCAGGAACTCGGTTTGACTTGCTCCGAACAGAACCTGAGGGACCCGCGATGTCATCTGGGCGACTCTGTGTGCAGGTGTGCACGCCCGTGCCGAACGGGGGCGGGGGGGAGGCTGGACCGGCTCTCCCAGGGCCCCTGTCAGCCAGCCGCCCACCTTGGCAGCCCCCTCCCCCATCCCTGCTCCTGAGGGCTGAGCGGAGGAGGATGGAGGGGGGCCATTCGCAAAGTGGGGAATGGTCTGTGGGCCGTGCGCCCTCTGGGTCCAGCCCGAGCACCTCGCTGCATGGCTGGCAGGAGTGGGCACAGGTGCCCGTTCATGCAGAGGTCACACTTCAGAGCCGGCACCTGCCCTGCCGTCACCTCTCCGGCTGCTCAGCCCCAGTCCGCACGCAGTGTTCGTTCTTCACTTGGGCTGGGCTGTGAATCGGTGCTTGATTCCCAGCCGCCAGGGTCCCCTGCATCCAGCGCCGGCGGTTCCACGGCGTTGGTGTCCCCAGTGGCCCTCGGAAGGCGTGGTCCCGGAAGCCCACTTTTCAGACGCAGACACTGCTCAGCTCGCTCAGAGGCGCGCGCGGTCTCATCACACCGCCCACCCTGTGAACGAGCATGTCGGCGCCATTTCCCAGATGGGTCACCTGAGGCTGGGGTTGTGCTAAGCAGGTGGCCTTGCAGCTGATCAAAGGCGGAAACCTGAAGGCTTGGGTTTCAACTTGGGGGGGGGTGATCCCCCCATCACAGCAGCTCGAAAATTCCAGGTGTCTGTGGCCCAGAAGCATCTTGTTTGGTTGGACCGTGTTCAGGGATGAGAGACGTGTCACCAAACACTGACTAGTCACGTAGGACGGGAACATAGGCCCAGCCCGGCACCCGACAGCACAGGGCGCAGGGAAAACGGTGTCTCCCGGCTCCCCTGGGCTCTGCTCCCGACGCCAGCCCCCTGCAGGGAGAGCTGTGGGCCCGGTTCCTCAAGGCGTCGGAGACGGGGTCCTGGCCACTTGTCCAGCTGCCCCACTGGTGAGGGGCACAGCCGGCCCAGGGCCTCGGCACAGACGCCCGTGGGGTCTCGGTGTGGGTCTGCGCGGTGCATCGCGGGAGGGTTTCCATGCGCCTGGAACCGCAGACTCCAGGGCGGCTGGCCTGGTGTTACCCCGGAGCTGAGGCCCCCGCGGGGAGGGGGGTGCACAGTTTTGTGGACGCTGTGGTTCCTCAGGGTGCGAAGCAAGCTTCCTACTCGCGTTCTCGGTGGTCTTCTGACCCCGTGTGGCAGGCTTGAGGTAGTGTCGTGTCTGGTCCTCACTCGTGAGATAAATACTCTCCATTTTAGAAAGGCTGTGCTTTTCCTAAGATCTTTCCGCAGATAGTACGCGCGAGAACAAGGTCAGACGCAGCTCCTCTCAGCCAGGGGTTGCAGCGGGCGGAGGAGCTTTGGGAAAGGGGGTGCTCCCCAGAAGTGCGGGAAGGGCGGAACCGGGGGGCCGAGATGGCACAGAGGCTCACACACGGGACAGAGATGGACACTCTCATCTGGACATGTTACGGCCAAAGGTAGGATTGTAGAGAGTCCGTCAGAGTCCAGAAAAGAAAGCTCACCCACAGGGGCCAGGTTGACACTGGACATCTCCGCAAGATCCGATACCACGGGAGGGCGCCTGGCGGCGTCACACTGTTGGATGTAAGAACTTGCGACCTGCCCTGGCCAGCGTGGCTCAGCGGGTCCTGGCTTTGAAGGGTCTTGGGTTCAGTTCCCGGTCAAGGGCACATCCCTGGGTTTCAGATTTAATGTCCGGCCCAGTCGGGGCCGTGCAGGAGGCAACTAACCTGTGTGTCCCTCTCACGTCGATGTTTCTCTCTCCCCCTTCCTCTCTCCCTCCCTCCTTTCTGCTGCCTCTAAAAATCAATGGAAAAAATATCCTCTGGTAAAGCTTAAAAAAAAACTTTAATCCTTTATTTTATACTCAGTTCAACTATCACTGAATGTAGAGATATTAGGAGGCACACAGAGAGCGAAGTGTCCATCACTCAAGACCCCCTTGAAAGTGTGTATTTGAAAAATACACGTGTGTGGAGTTTACTTGTTCTTGACAAAGGACAAAGCAAAGGGACCTTTTTGGTCTTGTGATTATAGACTATTTTAAGTTTAGATTTTTTTTTTTCTCTCTCCTTTGTCATTGTTTTAATTCTTTCTGTGCCCTTCCTTGCGGTGTCTGAAGACTTTGGCGGCTTGAATCGAATAGCAACCTGCGGAAGGCCGGTCACTGCTGGTGGTGACCCTGCAGGGAACTGGCTCGGCTTATTTTTTGTTTTTTTGTTGTTTCTCGGACCTTCGTGGTAGTTCTTGACCCTCCTGAAAACGCTACCGGGTAAGAGGGCAGAGAGCTTTGGGGATACCCAAGAAGCACCTTCCTTCAAAGGCGGCATCGATTTTTATGTCCGCCAGATTTTGAGACAATGAGCCTCCCTCCCCCGATGTTATTGTGTAAGAACCAAGAACTAGGAGTCACTCTTGTGATTCGAATGTTTGGGGTTGGGGGAGAGCTGGGGTTTCTGAGCCTCATCTGTACCCACGTGGTCCTCTAGCAACGACTTTTCCGAACACAAAATAGGCCCGGCCGGTGTGGCTCCGTGGTTGAGCGTCGACCCTGCTCCAAGAGGTCGCCTGTTCGATTCCCAGTCAGGGCACATGCCCAGGTTGTGGGCCTGATCCCCAGTGGGGGGCCTGCAGGAGGCGGCCGAGCAGTGTTCTCTCTCATCGATGTTTCTACCTCTCCCTTCCTCTCTCTCTAATATCAATCAGTCGATAAACAAACAAACATAAAATAGGGACCCGGAGTGGTGACGTGAACTCTCTTGGACTTGCTGCAGGGGGTTTGGGTTTTGGCGAGTCCTTCCCACTCTTCCGAGTTCTTCGCGGGCAAAGCACCTTCTTGAGGAAAAGAAGCCTCCTTCAGATCCACGGACAGTCCGTGAGGCGCGGGGCTCGCCGCCAGACCCGCCCCGGGTTCCGGCCTGGATCGCGGGGCCCCTGGCATGCAACAGCTGTTTCTCTGCCCGGTGACTTGTTTTGCTTCGGAAATAATCACGTTTCAAAGAAGACAAAAGCAAAGGGAAGAATGTTTCATCGCCGAACAGAAGTAAAGACTGGGCGTGTTTTGCTGTCTGACCTTCCGCTGTTTTATAGACATACTTGTAATTTTTTATCTAACGTGGAAGCCTCTACCCACTGTTCATGACCAGCTAGTTGTTCCCCCGTGTCATCGAATAAGAACGTTAAAGAGGGAGGAGACGTTTGAACGTACGGGAAAGTGGGCCGAGTAGCTGGGTCAGTGGAGTTACTGTTATTTCTATAACAACAGGCACAGGGGGATGGACGAAAGGCACTCAGATTTGCTGTATCAGAAAGTGAGGGGGTCTGCAGGGACAGAGGGAGAGAAATGTGCTTAATTATAACAATGGAGACATTTTAAGTATTTCAGAGAAAAATAAAAGCACAGGAAGCCTGAGGTCAAGGTGTGGGTGGAGCCCAAGGTGTGGGTGGGACCCCTTCCTGGGGTGTCAGCAGCACCTCCCATCCTCCCAGCCCCTCCTCAGAGCTGTGGGTCCCTTCCTGTCCCAGGGCCCTTATCCCGTCAGGGGCTCCACCCTGGAGGCCTCATCAGAAACGGATGCCCCCAAAGGCCCCCCAAACACCATCACACGAGGGGCATCAGCGTGAGGTGTAGGGGTCCTGGGTGCAGCCGTCGTGAGGCAGAAATAAATCTCAGTAGAACAAATCATAGTCACCGGAAGGCTGCCGGACTCGCCAAAGAGAGATCTCAGACTGGAAAAAAATCTGACCCAGCAATATTTGGTCCACAAAAGACAGTTAAAAGATTAAAAAATAATAAATTAAATAAAAACAAAGGTTTGAGAAAGTATGAATTTGATGAAAACCAGGGTGTGATATAAAATATAACTCAAGGCAAAAAAAATCTTCAGTGACGACGAGGAACACTTCGCAAATGAAAAGACACGGGACGAGATGATGAAACAGTCGTGAAAAGACACCCCCTCAGACAGACGAGGACGGCGAGGACTTGGATCATCCCGGAGCTAAACCCTAATGGGTTAAAGTGGGAGGCTTCTTCCTCTTTGCCTCTGGTAAATCAAATGGATGAAAAATCAGAAAACCTGTAAAAATGCTTGTTTTACATGAGCTACACGTCCGACTGCATTTAGGGGAGGGGAAGAGAAGGAGGCCGAGCACCCGCTCACCGTGATGCTCCGGGGCGTGAAACCCGTCCAAGAACGCAAACTAAAACGTGCGTTTAGAAACAGTCACAAAGGACGAAGCGGTCCTTGGATTGAGGAGGATGTTTCCATGGGCAGCAAAATGACGTTGACCCGAAGAGCAATGAGCTTGTGTTTGGTAGAAAACGGTACGAATGGAAAACAAGGCAGATGAGCTCAGAAAGCGGAAACGTCTGTGACACCGAGAACAACGACCTAAACACAACACTAGACGAGGAAAGATGGACAAGACCCAGAGCTGGCGGTGGAGACGCTGTCAAGATGGACAGAAGGGATCAGGAACAAGGGGAACGAACGAGACACAGACGGAGGGAAACGGCCGTGGTCACAGCAGAAGACCCCGGCCCGTGGGGCTCAGTGGTTGAGCATCGACCCAGCACCAACCAGGAGGTCACCAGTGCGATTCCCGGTCAAGGCACATGCCCAGGCTGTGGGCCTGATCCCCAGTGGGGGGCGTGCGGGAGGCGGCCGATCGATGTTCTCTCTCATCGATGTTTCTCTCTCTCTCCCTCTCCCTTCCTCTCTCTCTAAAGTCAATAAAGGAAAAATACTTTATTTAAAAAGAACAGAAGAGCATTGTGAACCGTGTGCCAGTCACCGAGAAAACAGATACGAAGGTACTTTCCTAGAAAAAACAAGAAATGGCAAAATTGGCAAAATAATGGACTAAACTCATGAGAAGTGAAGGTATTTAAATAGTGGTCAGAAACGTCCGGCCGCCCTCCCCCGGGGCTCAGACTCAGATCTACAAGACGACTGACGCTCGAGGGACAGACCGCCGCACCTGACAACGTGTGGCGGAGAAGGACGCAAGGACCGAGGCTGTGCAACTCGCGTTGTGTGGTTAGTATATTGTGATCTGAGAGTCACAGTTCCATTCAGCGGGTGGATTTAATGCAGAAATAAAGGAGATGCTGGCTCCCTGCACCCCCGGCCCGGTGAAGGCACCAGCTCCATGAGCCCCGCGCCCCTCAGCGGGATGCAGCGCAGGGTCCACGGCAGTGCCCCCGGGACAGGCCGGCCCCCAGCCCCTCGTGCCCAGACCTGGAGCTGTCTGGGCTTCCAACGACCTCAGGGCGTCCTGCCACCAGCACAGCCGTTAGGGGGCTTGCTCGCCGGAGAGGTGCCGACCCCGCCGGGGACCAGGCTGCGTGCAGGCCCAGGCCTGGGCGCTCAGAGGCCGTCAGGACCCGGGAGTCAGCACTGGAAGGTCTTGACCTACAAGTCTCGTTCTAGGGGATTTTGAAATGTGTGATGCTCAGACACACCCCCGCCCTCCAGAGACTGACCACCCTGTCCACACGGACGCAGTCGTCCGGTCTCGAAACCTGCAGGAAGTGTCTGTGCCGAGGGTGGCTGTCCGCGCGGGAGCAGGCCCCTCCTCGGCCCTCACGGAGCGTCCACGACCCAGGGCCACCCCCGGGCAGCCTCCCCTGACCCCACCAGCAGGGCCTCTCCCTCCGCCGGCTGCGTCCTGAATCCACCTCTGTGCTTCTCTACTTGGCGGCAGGACAGTCACCGCGACCCAGGGCTCCGAGCGGCTCGCACCCGGGGCCCAGCCGCAGGCCTGCTCACACTGTCTGGAACCTGGGGCTTCTCTCCTTGGTGCCGTGAGAGAGGCCGGGGGTGAAGTGAGCCCTCTGGTGGCAGATGAGAAAGAGACAGAGCGACGTGGCACGTCCCACGGTCATCAGGGCGCAGAGGTGCAAGGGGGCGGGGCACCGGCTCCTGACACGAGGACGGCGTGGGTGGGATCAGGAACCACACAGGTTCCTACAACCCCCACGTCCGCTCTGCGAAGTCCCTGCTGCTGGGAGTGGGCGCGTCGATGGAACCGGGGAGTCGGAGCAAGTGCTCCTTCTGCCTGGGGCGGGACGTCCCGACCGGACAGAAGACGGGGTCTGCGGCTGGAGGGGCAGGCAGCTGCCGAGGACAGGTTGGCTGGCGAGGCGGGGTCCCCGATGGCGTGTGGGCGTACGTGTCCATCGCTCCAGGACCCGAGTCCACCTGACATGACCAGGCTCGCGGGGAGGCTGGGCCCTGTGTCAGCCATCCCAGACAGAGAGACGAGGACCCGGAGGGAGAGCTGCGTCCCAGGTCACAAGGCCACAGGACAGGCCTCGGGCTCTGACTCGTCTGGGGGAGGCTGGCCCTGCCCGGTGGAAGGAGGTCGACCGGCCGTCTCTGACCAGCAGGGGGACTCGCCCAGTCCCTGTGCCGAGGAAGCGCGCGAGGGAAGGGTTCGAGGCCGCCGTGCGGTGTGCACGGGAGGTGGTGGGTGACCTCTCGGAGGCGGGTGGACAGGACGTCTGCGGCCACCAGACCAGGACAGTCTGGAGTGTCCTCCAGGCTCTGATTTCCAGACGAGCTCGAGGGGAGCAGGAGGGTCGCCGGGGAGAACCACCACCGCATGTCCTCTAAGGACGGTCGTCTCGTCCTCAGGGCAGGACCTTCACGTAGTCACTGTCGCAGTTCTCTGGGGACAAGCAGAGACCAGCATGAAGCCCGGCACCCGGGAGCCGCACCGGCCAAGCCCTCATGGGAGAGGACACCTGTCCCCGGCCCAGAGCAGCCCGACGCCACATCGAAGTGATGTCTGCAAGGACGGGGCTGCCACACGGAGCTCTCCTGGCCAACCTGGGGCCCCTGACCCGTCGGGCTGCGGCAGGAACCCTGGGCGCCCAGAGCGAGGACGTCCTTGTTCCGAGGAGCCCGAGGAGGGGGCGACGCGGCCGGCGAAGGCGTTTCTCACGCGGTCGCCCAGGGTGTGGGCCTCACTGTGCTGACCGCAGCGGCCATGGTGCAGCCCGGTCCTCGGGGAGTCTCTAGGGCTCTCCTCTGGGGCTCTCGGTTACCTTCTCCCTGTGGGAGCAGATCTCCCCACCTACAGGCTGTACAAACACCTGCCCTGGTTTCTAGCTCCGTCCCCTCCGATGCTTTCTTCCCTCTAAGTTCTGGTGGAAAATGGCCACGGGACCACACCTGTGTGGGGGGAGGGGACAGAGGGACAGCGTGGGGGTAGGCTCCTCATTAAGCCGTGCTGAGTCTGGGGGGGCCCGGCGTGTGCGGCAGCCTGAAGGGACCTCGCTGCAGAGAAAGCAGAGTTGTGGGGTGACGGCCGGGTCCCCGGGTTCTCTGTCCTCTGCCTCTCACTGCGGAGGTGACCTCACGTCCCGACAAGAGAGCCTGGGGCTAAGGTGAGCGTCTCAGGAAGTCCACGCTGGGTCCACACCGACTGTGACCAGTTTGTCGTTAGGTGATGGGAGAGGCCTCGGCCTGACTGAGCCCCGGGGTGGCTGACCACCCGTCGGGTGCTTCTGAAATAGCTCGCTCCTGGGCCAGCATAGTGAGCTCTCAGGCTGTGCTACACTCCGGGAGCAGGTGCGCCTCGGGTGGGCTCGGAGCACTTCTCACACTGGGACTTCTGCCTGTGTCTGTCCGTCTGTCCCCAAGCTGTGGGCGGGCTGGGTGTGACATGTCCCAGCTCCATGTGCCCCCCTGCTCCAAGCACCGCCCCCGACAAGCTGGGAGGAGGCCCTGGAAGAGGCGCCTGCGAGCCAACCTTGCAGGAAAGACTGTCTGCCGGCACCAGCAGGCCCCGGGCCCCTTCCAGCCCGTGTGACAGCTCTCACCGTAGTCGTCCTCCAAATCCACCTTCGACCTCCTCCACCTCAGGCAGGGGCTGGTCCTCCTCACTGGGTTCTGAAGGGTGACCACCAGTCCTTGGTTTGGTTTCTTGAAGTTGGAGACCAGTTCCTTTAGGCTGGGAAAAACCTGCTTGGGGGTGCCCTCCACCGTCTGCAACACAAGGAGACCACTGGTCACCGCGCGGCCCCGTGACCTGCCGCACTTCCCCAGCTGTGGTTTTGGGCAGCCGGAGCCGGAGCTGGCAGACTGCAAACGTCAGCACAGGGCTCGGGGCCCCCGGGGACACAGACGCCCCGCCTGCAAGACGCCTGGGACACAGCGACTCTGAGTGACGGGGGTGAGCCGCCCACTGAGGGCCCGCTCGGGCCGCAGTCCTGCGTGAGCCCCGCCGGGGCCACTGTCTGGGGCACCGTCTGTCCACAGGGGAGCTGACGTCGCCCTCGGTGCCTCTGGCGGGCTGGCGCTCGGACTACCCGCGGTGGCCTTCCGACGGGCATTCGAACACGCGCTTGACCCTGTCCGTGGACAGTCTCCAGGGGAGGACACGAGGCAGAGAGGTCCCGATTTAAACTGAAACAGGCCCACAGGACTCGGGCGGCTGTGGACAGCTGTGCTCTGCTCAGCAGCGGAACACCAAGGACAGCTCTCTGAGGTCACCTCACGGTCCGGATTCACAAACAAGTTTGCTTCCTCTGCTCCTGTGTGCTGTGGGGTTCTTTTCTTCTTCTTTTTTTTAATTCTCGCCTGAGGCTATTTTTTCATTGTTTTGTTTTTTTTTTTTAGATAGAATGGAAGGCAGGGAGAGAGAGACATCGATTGGTTGCCTTCTGCACAACCCCCCTGGGGCTGGGGATTGAACCTGCCGTCTAGGTACGTGCTCTGGACCTGGACTCGGACCCACGACCCTTCAGTCCCTGGGCTGACGCTCTAACCACTGGGCACACTGTCCCGGACGGGCTTTCTGGATGCTCACTGTTCTCCAGTGGCCACCAGGGGACCCAGCGGCGTGGGGTCAGAGGTTCTCTGCGGTGCAGCGTGGCTGAGTCCCTAAGGGGGCCAGGCGCCACCTGGCCGGCAGCGTCTCTCAGGGGGGTCAGAGGAGGGGTCACGGCAAGGCACCGGGTCGTCCAGAGCTTCCTGAAGCTCCACAGAGGACGAGTGTCTGAAGGTGTGTTGCTTTTTAGGAAACATTGTGTTTTGAAATAATTTTAAACTTGAAGAAAAGTTGTAAAAATCTTTTTTAAATTTTCATCTCTGTCCTTCACTTACACCCCGAATGTTAAGATTTTACTATATCTGCTTTTTATTCTCTCCGTTGTAAATATATATACAAATACTTTGACATTTTGAGAGTAAGTGTCAGACATGACATCCCTGAAACCTGGACATTTAGTGTTTCTTTTAAAGCAAGGATGTTGCTCGTCCACACGACGACGATGTAAGAGGAGTTCATCCTGAAGCAGTTACTGCTCAGTGACCGACACACCTGTTCCCACTGTGGTCGTCTCAGTGCTGTGCTTTCTCAACAGAAGACAATGTATCTGTGTGTGTCTGTGTGTGTCTGTGTGTGTGTCTGTGTGTGTGTATAGTTGTATGTGTCTGTGTGTGTGTGTGTGTCTGTGCGTGTCTGTGTGCGTCTGTGTGTTTGTGTCTGTGTGTGTGTGTGTGTGTGTCTGTGTGTATAGTTGTGTCTGTGTCTGTGTGTGTGTCTGTGTGTGTGTGTGTCTGTGTGTGTGTGTATAGTTGTGTGTGTCTGTGTGTGTATCTGTGTGTCTATGTGTGTGTCTGTGCGTGTCTGTGTGCGTCTGTGTGTGTGTGTGTGTCTGTGTGTGTGTATAGTTGTATGTGTCTGTGTGTGTGTGTCTGTGTGTGTCTGTGTGTGTCAGTGTGTGTCTGTATGTGTGTGTGTCTGTGTGTGTGTGTCTGTGTGTGTGTGTGTATAGGTGTGTGTGTCTGTGTGTGTGTGTGTGTGGGATCCAGTCTTGGACTCACACAGTGAGCCCTGGATGTGGACACACTGAGAAATCCGCAGTAGGACGTCTGCTCCCCTTGCACAAGTGTCTCAGAACTAGGATCGCAGGGTTGCCGAGAAGTACATTCAGTAGAAGCAAAAAGGTGTATGTGCCGAGCTCTCGGTGAGCCAGAAAAGTGAAAAATCCCCGAGACAGCTTGTTGGTGGCTCTCCCCGCGGAGCCCGACTGCCTCCCCCCCCCTCCCTCCCCACCCCAGTCTCACGAGTCTTCTCATCAACAGTGGTGCGTCCGGCCAGGGAGCCAGCCTGTCTCTACTCTGAAACCCGCCTGGCAGTTCAGAACCGGGACCAAACTCCGGCCTCCCCGTCCCCGTCTGCCCTCACCGCCACGTCCCGCGTCAGGAAGCCCCAGGCCCTCCCCCAGCGTCCGCTGCTGTCGCGGGTGTTCACGCAGCAGCATCCCTACCTGGATCTGGTAGTGTCCGTGCCTCTCCCTGAAGATGCGGTACGTGTACACGAAATGTTTAAACCTGTGGAAAGACGACCGTGTGAGTCAGTGTTTACACGAACAAACTCAGGTACCACCTACCATTGCGTCTTGTGTGCAAATCATGGATCCCAAAAGTGAAGGACCGTGTTCTTTCTTTTTTAAAAAAATCCTAACCTGAGCATATTTTTTTTTTCCATTTATCTTCAGATAGAGTGGGAGGGAGAGAGCGAGAGAGAAACATCAATGTGAGAGAGACACATCGACTGGTCGCCTCCCACAGACCCAACCAGAGCCGGGGACGAACTGTAACCGAGGTACGTGCGCTTGACCGCACTCGAACCCGTGACTCTTCAGTCCACGGGCGGATGCTCTAACCGCTGGGCCAAACTGGCCAGGACCGAAGGCTTGTCTCCAGACCTCATCTGGGGGAACAGGAACGAGACCAAGGCTTGGACGTGGCCGCGTGGGCGGAGCCGAGGGGGAATGAGAGTCCACAGCTTCAGTGGTCCTGGTGGGCTCTCTGGTCTTCACGCAGCTCTAAGTGGATGAAACTCGCAGATGCAGTTTCCTGTGCTGCTCGGGAAACCATGTCGTCGACCCCGTGAGACCGTGGTGTCGCCCTGATTCTCGCTGGCGCAGGGGCCTGGCCGAGCAATTCAGCCAGAATTTAGAAGACAGGCCCAACCGGGCGGCTTGAGTGACAAGAAACAGCCCATGTTCCCTGTGTTCTCTGATCCCAAGACGCCGTCACTGGTGACATCCAGCGCCAGCGTAACAGTGGCTTTCCGGGCCAGGAGGCACATCCGAGTGCCTGTGTCCGCTGTTACCCCGGCAGGTTCCACAGAAACGTCGAAATGGAGAAAAGGACATTGGCCCGAGGTTCAGATGACCTGGCGTCCGTGCCAAAGAATCAAATGACCGGAGTTCGGACGGGATCGGGCAATCAGACACCCCCACTTACAGACTGGAGGACAGGAGGCCGCATTGCTGATCGGAGAACCACTTCCGACTCCAGCCCAGGGCGAGCCAGTGTGTCCCCAGGTCCGCGGCAGCCACGGGTTTCCATGCGTCTCCGTCTGCAACCGGCAGCGCCGAGTCCCAGAGTCGAGAAGAGGCCTCAGTAGTGTGTTTTTGCGGGGGCGTGGTTCACCTCGGGGCCCAAACCAGGCCCCCACGGGCACCTGGCCGACCGTGTGGAAACCCAGACGTCACAGAGCCTGTGTTAGGTTCTCCCACAAGTGACTTCATTTGACCCCAGACACAAACATAAAACCAGAGTGTGACGCCTACAGCTATAAAACCACAGGGGAAAATCTCTGGGAAGTGAGTTAGGCCACTAACTCAGAGCACTAAAGTGACCACCCGTGAAAGAGAAAAACTGGAGCACTAAAGTGACCACCCGTGAAAATCGAGAACCTCTGTTCTCTGAAATATACCAGTAAGCGGATGAAAAGACCAGTCACAAAATGGGAGAAAGTACCTACGAATCACCCGTCTCACCAAGAACTTGCACCGAAAATATGCAAAGAACTATCAAGACTCACTGACAAAATAAACACAAAAATAACCGCGTCGCCGAGGGAGACACATGGGTGGCAAACAAGCCCAGGAACAAATACATCGCGCGTCATCCGCACAGTGTGAGCTAAAACCACAGCGGCAGGCCCCGCACGCTCCTGCACGGGCTGGAATGAGGGGGGCCGGGACCGTGAGCCTCGTGGGGCTCGTCTGCCGGTGGGACTGCATCCCCTTGGGGAACAGTGTGGCCATTTTGTAAAAACATTAAACCCGCCCTGCACACGTGGCTCGCGTGGGGGAAATGGGAACATGGCCACAGACGGGGCCCCAGATGTGTCTGTAGCAGCTTCAGTGAAGGCTGAGTGAGGAAACAATGTAACACTGGGAAGGCCCTGCTTTTACAACCAGGAGGCTGTAGGTCTACCCTGAAGGCTGAGTGAGGAAACATTGTAACACTGGGAAGGCCCTGCTTTTACAACGTCTACCCTGATGCAGAATCATACTGAACGGAAGCTGTAATTGAAAATAAAAATATACATAAAAAAATGTGACTTGGCCCAGCTGGTGTGGCTCAGTGGATGGAGTGTGTCCCATGGACTGAGAGGTCCCGGTCGGATTCCCAGTCGGGGCACATGCCTGGGTTGCAGATCCCACCCACAGTAGGGGGCGTGCAGGAGGCAGTCGATCGATGTTTCTGTCTCACATGGATGTTTCTATTTCTTTTTTTTTTTCCTCACCCGAGGATATTTTTCCAGTTTTTGTACAGATAGAGCAGGAGGGAGAGAGAGGAAGGGAGAGAGAGTGAGAAACATCGACGTGAAGGGACACATCGAGTGGCTGCCACCCGCACGACCAACCAGGGCCGGGGACAAACTGCAACCGAAGTACGTGCCCTTAGTGGGAACCGAACCCGGGTCTCTCCGGACCGCAGGCCGACGCTCTAACCGCTGAGCCAAACTGGCCAGGGCGGATGTTTCTATTTCTCTCTCCCTTCCCCTCTCTCTAAAAAAACAATAAAAACATATTTTAAAAATTGTGACTTTGCCCTAAAATGAAATACTGCTCAGCAAGAAAGAAGGACCTTTGATGCATCGACCACGTTGTGAAGGCAGAAAAGAAGGCCAGAAAGAGATGACGGTGGCCTGGGGCAGGAGGGGTCGCATAGAGCCCCAGGGAAGTTCGGGGTCCCCACGGTCTTGGCCGCGGCGATGTTTTCAGGGGTGCATACCAATGCCCAAATCATCACACTGCACACTTGGTATGTCATGTCCCGACTCCTCGGCACAGCTGTCAAGATCATTCGGGAACGGGTTATTTGTGCTCTGCTGTGTAAACCAAGTTTCAGTTTGTGGTTGGTCTTTGGTGTCAGAGAAAAATGTGTCCTGTATTTGATGCTGTGTTAGGTCCCCAGTCAATACTCGGCGTGTTGAAATGTCTGTGTTTTCGGTCCTCCTGGGGGAAAGGTCAACTCATTTACGATGTGAAAAACATACAGGCCTTTTAAGAGCCGTTTTTAAACCTCTGCATCAGGTCTTCAGTTGAGATCAGAAAGGTCAGAATACAGGACTTCTCAGGTCCCCTTTCCGATGGGTTAGAGGGTGCACGGTGGTTACAGGCCTCAGTGCATGACTGGCCCACATGTCGCCACTGGTCTCAGGCTGTGACCAGGCTTGTGGGGAAAGTTGTTCGTGATTCAAGTTTTATTTTTATTTTAATCGAACTTGAAAGATCAGCAGAAGGAAATGGAGCTGTTCTCTCCATGGCAACAGCTGCGTCTGCCTGTCTCTGCTGTGGCGGCGCCCACGTCAGTGGGCAGTGAGCCGTCCGAGAGCGTGGGCTTGGCCTCGTCGCCGATGTTCACAGCAGGGCCACAAGTTTGTGTTGCGTGAGTGGGTCAGGGTGTGATATTAACCGTCTCGGATATTATCCCGAGGACGGAGCTGGGCGAACTCTCAAAGACGTACGTGCAATGCTAGTAGTCTGCAGTCGCACAGGGCCCATTGGACCAGACTGGAAATGGGCTAGATGCATGATTGTATGTGTAAGTTCGGCTGTGAAGGACTTGGCGCTGGCTGTCCCGGAGGGGGAGGCCGTCCTGCGTGGGGGCTGCGTTCGCCGTGCATGGGAGGTCTGCGGAGACGGCACCGACGCACAGGAACCGTGATTTCCGAGCGGCGCGTCTGAGATCGCTTCTGCTTTCTTTTTTTATACCTCTCTCCAGCCCTGGCCGGTCTGACTCAGCAGTAGAGCGTCGGCCCGTGGACCAATGAGTTGAGGGTTTGCTCCCAGGCAAGGGCATGTACCTGGGTCGTGGTTCGTCCCCGGCCCTGGTTGGGTTGTGCAGGAGGCAACCAGTCGATGTGTCCTTCTCACGTAGATGTTTCTCTCTCTCCCCCTCCCTCCCTCCCACTCTATCTGAAGATAAATATAAAAATATCCTCAGGTGAGGAATAAAACATATACCTCTCCCCAGATTTGATTTTTCAGAAACAACAAAAAAGGTGGATTTTTTTTCCTTCCTGGACTCGAGTCTTCCCAAAGATCTCAGAATCTGAGAAGTGACTCTCCCGGCCTGGTCTCCTTGGCAAGACCCCGCCGGGGCTCAGGCTCCCCTCCCCGTGGCTGTAGAAAGACTCCCCACCCGTCACACCTGGACCCCATCCCAGGCGCCGTCTCCCTCTGACCCGCTGACCACAGGCAGACCAGCCCCCACATCTGGCCACAGGACAGTGCGGGGCACGCGGGGGTCTCTGGGTCTCTATCGGGCTGTGCAATCAGGTACATTTCCTGTCTGTGCCACCTCAGGCCAGCTCTCTTGCCAACTTCCTGCCTGTATTGCTGGCCTTCCCCATACTCTGACTTGGGCAGGACCAGCACAGAAGCTGCCATGGTGCTGCTCCAACACAGCGAAGAAGATGGGAATGCAGAGGGCAGAGTCTGCCGTCGGGGCCCCCTGCCTGTCTACGGTCCCCTGCTCGGGCACTTTGGGGTCCAGGGCGACCCCGTGATCACAGTCAGTGGAACTGGGGGCGTTGGTAAGAGAGGGAACAGAACGTGCTATGAGTTGGGTTGGGACAGGTTATCTAATAAGAAGCTCCAGTTCTTTCCCTGCAAAACAGGAATAATGTCACCTGCTGTAGGTGGTTTTAATGCCTATGAGCAGGAGAAAAGACTGAGTGATCTCTCCAAAGAGGAGGGTGCTCAGCGACACCAGATTCCCGCTCGTTTCCGCACGGATTGCTTTCTCGGCGGCCGGGACGAGGCCCCTGCCAGGGCGGCTCTCGGGCTCTGGCCTGGCGTGTCCCGCGAGCTCAGACCCCTGGGCAGTCCCAGGTGGGCGGTAGCAGGAGCAGGTCCTGGAGGAGCCCAGGCCCTGACCCTTCATCCATCAGATGCCGCCTCGATCGGCCACGGCGGCTGGGGGGCCGCGGTCTGTGAAGCCCTTCGCAGAGCTAACAAGATCCAACGTATGTTACACTTGAAGCGCTGTGAGCGGAGCCAGCAGGTACACGTACAAACTCGGTCTCCCAGACAGACTTCCACAGCGAACAAACGCACTCTGCAGCGGAGGACCTCTGCCGGCGCCCCCCGCCCCCCCCTGCTCCCTGCAGCCTGCCCCTTGTCACCCCGGCACCTGGCCCGTGGGCCTTCCCACCAGGACGGGCAGGGGGGCGTGGACGCTCGTCCCCGCGTCTCCCCGCTGGCTCCGCTCTGCCCGCTCTGCTCACTTCCCTGCAGAGTCGGCGTGAAAGGCGGGTTCCCTGCCCCTTGACTACGGTTCCCGGAGTCGCCACACGGTCTCAGTGTGGGGGGCTACTCACGAGACGCAGAGGCACAGCACCCCGGGCATGGACTCGCTGTCCCGCAGCAGGAAGTTGCCGTCCACGCCGTCGGAGAGCAGCAGCCTCTCGCAGTCGACCTTGGACAGAGGGCCGTGGTACCAGGGCACATCCATGCCGCCGTGTGCCCTCCCGGGAGAGCTGCAGGACAGTGCTGATGGGCGGGAGAGGCACTGTCACCGGGCTGGGCTCAGTCTCACGAAATGCAGGAAATGAGAAGGGTGGGGTGCTAAGTGACCCACACTTCAGCCAATAGACGCCCGGGTGTGATTCACAGAAGGCTTTCTGCTGCCTTCGGCTCCCCTTCTGCTGAAACGACCCTGGTTGTGCATGCTCAGCCCGGAGCCGGTGCTCAGAGTGTCAGGGTGCTCGCTGAACCCCGATATGTCCAGACAGAATGGAACGGCTGGAAGGGTAGGACTTCCACGGGTCAAATGGCACGAAGAACAGAAAGCATCCAAGGGGATCTAAAGCTACTGGACTGTGGGGTGGGGGCACCCCATTCCCTGGACAAGGCTCCTGGCCTCTGGTCAACAAGGCCGCGGGAACATCCTGAGCATCACACTTTGGGGGAGGCAGGGGTGCAGTGGAGAAACGGGGTGTGCAAGTCCGTGCAGGGAGGCTTTTCATGTGGAAGGAAAGAGGATGCTGGTTGGGTTTGAAGACCTTCAGGTCCTTTGAGGTCCCTGCCCTGGAGACAGCAGCGATGTGTCCCCATAAAGAAAGACTGAGAAACATCGATCCAGCCAGAGACACTTAACCTGCCGGACAGCCCGGCATCGGAGACAGAATCGCCCCTTTTGTCCTGCTGAAGCCTTTTCTGCTTCGACCAGCTGACACTCCTGAGAAAGGGGGCGTCTGCCGTCTGAGGGTCAGAGGTAGCCCCACAGTAATGTTGAAGGCCCTTCACCGGCTGTGTGAGATGTGACCGCTGCGGCCTTGGGTAAGGGTACAGCCTACAGGCTTCCCTTCTGCAAAATGATCGCCTCCCCAGCATCAGCTCACGCCGCCGTCTGCAGTCACTTCTCTTTCGTGGTGAGAACATTTAAGATCCACCCTGGCGCCCTGGCCAGTTTGGCTCAGCGGTCGGAGCATTGGCCTGCGGACCAGAGAGTCCCCAGTTCGGTTCCCGCTAGGGGCATGTACCAAAAAAAAAAAAAAAAGAGATCCACCCTGGCTGTGAATAATACAGGATCGTGAACTATGCCGCCGGGCTGCCCATCAGACCCCAGAACTTACTCATCTTCAAATCGGGAGCTCTTACTATTTCCTCCACGGCCTTCGAGCCACCGAATCACCCTCCGTGTTATCTGTTAATCAATTAGTCATTCTTTTCAAACACATCAGCCACGTAAGCGTATCTATAATCCGAGGTCAGCTGGTATAAACTGTGATTTCTCTCCCGTTCAGCTGCCTCACTCAAATATCCGTAGGGGCCGTTCCACACCTCAGACAGGAGTCCACGCCGACAGGGCCATGCGCTCTGAGCACTTACTGCTTCTCTGGGGACCTTCTTCAAGGACAGGACCCCAGCGGCTCCTGGCTGTGGCCTGCCACCTGGGACCCGGGCCTGGCCAGGAGCCTCCTTGCTGTGCGCTCTGCTGCTCTGGGAACGTCCCCTGCTCTGTGGTCGGAGGCGTGGACGGTAACTCAGTGACGGTCATCGAGAGAGAGGCTTTTAGCCCTGGCCGGTTTGGCTCAGCGGTTAGAGCGTCCGCCTGCGGTCCAGAGAGACCCGGGTTCGGTTCCCGCTAAGGGCATGTACCTCGGTTGCAGTTTGTCCCCAGCCCTGGTTGGTCGTGCGGGTGGCAGCCACTCGATGTGTCCCTTTCACGTCAATGTTTCTCTCTCCCACTCTATCTGAACAAAAAATGGAAAAATGTCCTCGAGTGAGGATTAAAAGAGAGAGAGAGAGAGAGAGAGAGAGAGAGAGAGAGAGAGAGAGATGTGCTCAAATCCCAGCCGCTCTGGGGAAGTCGCTAATTCCTCGGGGATCGCGGCAGCTGAGGAGAGAGTTTTTAAGGGTGAAAGAGGAGACTGAGCACCAAGCCTGGGGTGAGGCTGTTTTCGGAGTTAGGGAGGGTCACGGGGTCCTGCTCGCCTGTGCAGGACCAGGGCTTCCTGTCTTTTCGTCCTGTTTCCGACCCCACTCCCTCCTCCTCTCTCGCTGTGAGACGCTGCGGATTCAGTCCACACTGAGGTAACAACGCTCTCCTGTCACATGGTAAAAATGGGAAGTTTGAAAACAACCGGGCTTGGCCATGCTGGGGTGAAACAGAGAAACATCTCGTATGTGGTTGGCTGGCTGGTTGATTTCTATGGCCACAGAGGGAAGTCTCGCGTCCCCAGCAGACTGGCACAGCCTTTACCCGCCTATAGGACCTCTCGGTTCCCTTTTCTGATACCTACTGAAATCAGTCCTCATGGAAGAGACAGGTGGCACCTGTTTGAGACGGAGCTTCCCAAGGGAGAGACCAGGCTGTATCACCTGAACCCACCCACCAGCCTCGGCAGGTCTCAGGTGGGGACCAGCGGACGGTGACTGCCTGCCAGCCAGCAGCCGGGACACCGAGCACCCGTGACGTGGATTTTCAAAGACCTTGAACCTGAATGAAGCCCTTCTAACCCACTTCTCTTGGTGGGACCGTCATGGGGAAGCAGGCAGACAATGCCAGGGGTGGGCATTCGACGGGGACAAGTAAGATGGTTTCTTCGTAGGTCAACGCCGTGAAAACTGTTGTCATTGGGAGCAGCGACGAGGCTCTTGGGGGATCCTGGTTTGAAAAAAAACAAATACAAAAAAATGTCCCGCCGCTGGGGACTTTAGATATTGACCGTATTGGACAGTATCGAGGGATTCTCGTGGTTCTGTGGGGCTGGGACAGCCCTGTGCTATGCGGGTGATGGCCTGGGTGTCCCTCGTGTCACTCTCTCTGGTCTTGGATGTGTTTAAGGTTTTTCATGGTAAAAACAAGCAAACGAGCCCTGGCCGGTTTGGCTCAGTGGTTAGAGCATCGGCCTGCGGTCCAGAGAGACCCGGGTTCGGTTCCCGCTAAGGGCACGTACTTCGGTTGCAGTTTGTCCCCGGCCCTGGTTGGTCGTGCGAGTGGCAGCCACTCGATGTGTCCCTTTCACATCGATGTTTCTCTCTCTCTCTCCCTTCCTCTCTCTCCCTCCCACTCTATCCGTACAAAAAATGGAAAAATATCCTCGGATGAGGATAAAAAAACAAAAACAAAAAAAAACAACAACAAGCAAACGAAAACCCTCCCACTCTTGGGTTACTCTGAGCCCATGTCGCCTGGGACAAGACACAGAAACGCGTTCTCTCCCACAGGGGCCTCGTTCTCGTGCGTGGAAACCCCAGCCTGGTGCCCTGGCTGGGCCAAGGGCAGGCCCCTCACCCGAGACGGGCACATCAGGGACCCCTCCCGAGGAATGCGAAGAAAATGAATGAAGAGGAGAGAGGCGTGAGCACTGGGACGGGAGGGAGGAAGTACACGGAAAAGACTTCTAGGAATGGCTGTGTAGCAGGTGCATTTTCTGTGTTGGGAACTGGTGGCCGTAGCGCCCCCCCTCCCCCCCCCGCAGCCAGAAAAGAGGAATTTTTCACAAAATGAAGAAGGAAGTTGACTCATGAGGAGAAGCGGTCCTAAGACAGTCCTACAGAATGGAAGAAGCAACACAAACCACACATCTGGTAAGGGGTTAATTTACAAATATTAAAAAACTCATACAACTCAATAGCAGAAAAGGAAAAACAAAAACAAAAACACAAACCCAAAACAATCCGATTAAAAAAAGGGCCAGGGGTCTGAGTAGACACGTTTCCATAAAGACATCTGCAGGTGGCCAACAAGGACATGGGAAGATGCTCGTGCCGCTAGTCATCAGGGAGATGCAAATCAAAACCACCATGAGCTCTCGCCTCACACTTGTCAGAATAATTATCAGCAAGACAAGAAGTTGTAAATGCTGGCAAGGATGTGTAGAAAGGGGAACCCTCATGGGAAAATACATTGGTGCTGCCTCTTTTAAAGAAGTAGGACTTCTTTAAAAAAAAAAAAATTAAAAACAGAACTGCCACTTGATGTAGAAGTTTCACTTCTGGGTATTGATTGGAGGAAATAAAAACCACTAATTTAAAAAAGTAGGTGCAATCCTGTGTTTGCTGCAGTTTTGTTTACAACAGCCAAGAAGTGGAAGTAACTTAAGTGCCCATCACCAGACAGAGATGTGGCACATGCGTACATACAATGGGATATTATTCAGCCAGAAGGAGGAGGAAATCCTGCCATTTTTAGCAGGCTGGAACTTGAGGGCATCATGCTAAGTGAAGTAAGCCAGACAGAGTAAGACAAATAGGATAGGACCTCACTTATATGGAGATTTAAAAAGAAACAAAAACAACCAAACTCAGAGAAAGAGATCAGACCTATGGGTGCCAGGCTGGGTGGGGGATCTGGAGGAAGGGGTCAAGGCTACAAACGTTCGGTTATAAGGTAAGTACCAGACTGTAGCTAACAACGCTGTGTGTTGTAGGAAAGTCCAGAGCGTAGATCCTAAACGTTCTCGGCAGAAGAAAATGTTTTGATCTTTTGCTTGTATCTCTACAAGAGGACGGGTGTGAACAAAACTTGTGGTCATCGTTTCACACTGGTGTGGGTTTTAATTTCCTGGACCCAGTGGCTATTCGTCATTTTAATACATGTCCCTTTGTCACAGCTAGCTGGTGTTTGGCTTTCTATCTTCCACCAAAGGTGTCAGGTGAATCCAGGCTCACATGCAACATTCTGTCATGAAAGTCCAAGGGCGCATGAGGCCAACTACCAGTTCGGTGCCTACAGGACTGAGTCCTGCAGAACCTGGCCCGAGGCCGAGTGCAGGGCCTCCCATGCTTTCCTCCTGTCTTATTTCAGGAGACAGCGGTGTCCCTCCTCTAACAGCTCACCCATCGCGGCGCATCATCCGCTGAGCGTACTCTTGGGTGACACGCCGATGCTAACGGCAGAACTGGCGGTGGGAGAGGTGGTGTGGGGCACCGGTCAGCACAGCCACACCACGTAGACCTGACGCCGGTGCTTACGCATGCCTGCTTTCATGGGAGTAGAAAGATGCTCGTGATACGCTGTTGTTATAAAAGGCTGCAGATCAGCCAATCAGATGGTCCCATCTGTCACGGGTGTGTGGTGGTGTGTGTCTGTGAATGTGCAATGCACATGTGTATATGTAAATGCGTGGAGACGAGTCTAGAAAGAATTTTGCTGAAATGTTAATGAGGCTCATTTACGAAGGGCGAGAGTTAAAGGGTTTCTGTTTTCTTCTGTCCGCCTTTGTATTTTGTTTAACTTTTCAACAATGAACGTGTATAAAATGTACGTTGTCTTTTTTTTAGACTATAGAGACTTTCCACAAACCTCTTGGACTTTGTCATTGATTTCTTCAACTGACACTGTCCTCCTTGGCGAGACCCCGCAGGAGGCCGGGGCTCAGGCTCCCCTCCCCGTGGCTGTAGAAAGACCCCCACCCGTCACACCTGGACCCCATCCCAGGCTCCGTCTCCCTCTGACCCGCTGACCACAGGCAGACCAGCCCCCACATCTGGCCCCAGGAAGCCACAGGACAGTGCGGGGCATGCGGGGGTCTCTGGGTCTCTATCGGGCTGTGCAATCAGGTACATTTCCTGTCTGTGTCACCACAGGCCAGCTCTCCCGCTGACTTCCTGCCTGTATTGCTGGCCTTCCCCATACTCTTACTTGGGTCGGAACCAGCACAGAAGCTGCCATGGTGCTGCTCCAACACAGCGAAGATGGGAATGCAGAGGGCAGAGTCTGCCGTTGGGGCCTCCTGCCTGTCTGTGGTCCCCTGCTCAGGCACTTTGGGGTCCAGGGCGACCCCGTGAACACAGTCAGTGGAACTGGGGATGTTGTTAAGAGAGGGAACAGAACATGCTGAGTTGGGTTGGGACAGGTTATCTAATAAAAAGCTCCAGTTCCTTCCATACAAAATAGGGATTATATCACCTACTGCAAATGGCCTTGCAAGGATACCTGGGGTGGACCACCTGCTTTGGGGAAGCTGGCTGTCTGTGGAGAAGTCCGCGTGGTGAGGACCAAGGCTTCCCACCACGGCGATGCGAGGTGCTATCCCGGAAGCCCTCTGACTGCAGCTCTGGCTGAAATCTTGACGGTAAAGTCGTGAGAGTCCCCTAAGCCAGAACCACCCATCGAGCCCCTTCTGTGTGACAAGAGTGTTGTTTTAAGTTGCAGATTTTGGGAGAAATTTGTTATGTAGCAACAAAAAACTATCCACTAGAAAGGAATAATTAATGCCTGCAAAACATAATGTTATTATACGATTGTTTTGCAGAACGGCTGTATATACTTATGCTCCAAAGAGCACCTGACTCACCACACCCATAACAACACACGGCATCACTGACATTTATTTCCAAAAGCCGAGGCTCTCAAGAGGTTAGGACAGCCCTGGCCGGTTTGGCTCAGCGGTTAGAGCGTCGGCCCGTGCTCCAGAGAGGCCTGGGTTCAGTTCCTGCTAAGGGCATGTACCTCGGTTGCAGTTTGTCCCCGGCCCTGACTGGGTGGTGCCGGTGGCAGCCACTCGATGTGTCCCTTTCACATCTATGTTTCTCTCCCTCTCTCTCCCTCCCACTCTATCTGACAATAAATGGAAAAATATCCTTGGGTGAGGATTTAAAAAAAAAACACAAAGAGGTTAGGACAGATTTCAGATATAAGGGGAATGCTTGTTAGAAATAGCAGGGGAGCACACAGCTCTCCCTACTGCAGATCCTCTAGGGGTCCCGTGCACAGAAATAAGGCACATCTCCATGGCAACCAGACAAGGTGAGGTGTGATGATACTGGGAAGCAGATGGCCCCTCACCCCTGCACTTTGCACTATATACGCACCCCACCCCTGGGACCGGTCATGGAAAGAATGACCAGCCTATAGAAACATTTTATGGGAGTTTGAGGCAAGCCCTAGCCGGTCTGGCTCAGTGGTTAGGGTGTCGGCCGAGGACCAGAGTCCCAGGTTCCATTATGGTCAAGGCACGTACTTTGGTGTCAGTTTGGTCCCTGGCCCTGGTCGGGGTCATGCAAGAGGCAACCAGTCGACGTGTGCCGCTCACGTCGATGCTTCTCCCTCCCTCCCACTCTGACAATCCATGGAAAAATATCCTCGCAGGAGGATTAATACAAAAAAAAAAGCGTCTGAGCCAAAATGTTGAGGATGTGCCTGGGAGCAAAATGTGACTGAGGAAATGCTCTGGAAATGGCAGTTTTGCAGCTTATTTGATATGTGGAACCAAAGCAGGTGTTGGAGACACAGGAACCCCGCTGGGTAGATCCAGGGGCCGGAGAAAGGCAGGCGAAGGGATTTGAAGGAGAAGAGCGAACCGAGGGGACCCTGCACCTTCTGTGGGTGGGGAGGGCAGGGAACAGCCAGGCCCAGGCAGAGTGGGGGCGACGTCAAGGTGGGGTGCCTGTGGTCTCAGCTGAAGCCTTTGGCGGATGTAGAAGGGAAAGGCTGTGACATCACAACGGTGCTGCCCGAGCGCGGCGGGGGCTCCGAAAGCGCCGCCGGCGAACATCACCGAACACGCCGCGCGCCCGAGCGCAGCTCTAAGCCGACCTTCCGTGCGGCCTGGACGGCGCCGTGAACGCCCACGGGGCCCTCGGCAGGACGGCGGTTCCCCGCCCTGGTGCCAGGCCGCGGGCAGGCGCCGCCGGGCCACACGCTGACTTCTCGCCGGAAGCTCCAGCCCCGAGCGAGGACCCACCACCGGCCGCTTAGACGCTTCTGCTCCGACCGGCCGCCTCCTTCCCAGGAACCCGCCCCGCCCCGCGCGCCCGCTTCCTTCCGGCTCCCTGCGGGCGCCGCACCGGCTCCGCCTCCGCTTCCGGCGCGGGGTGCGCGCTTCCGGCGTCATGGCGGCCTGAGCCCGGCGGCGCGCGCGGCCCCTCCCTGCGGAGCGCGGGCGCTGGCGGCGGGGATGTGACCCGCGGGCGCGGCCGGCTGCCGGGAGTCGCGTCGGCTCCGTGTCGCGCTCAGGCCGTGCGGATGGCGGGGTCCGGCTGCGCGTGGGGCGCCGAGCCGCCGCGGTTCCTGGAGGCCTTCGGGCGGCTGTGGCAGGTGCAGAGCCGCCTGGGCAGCGGGTCGTCGGCGTCGGTGTACCGGGTGCGCTGCTGCGGCACCCCCGGCTCGCCCCCCGGCGCGCTCAAGCAGTTCCTGCCGCCCGGCGCCTCCGGGGCCGCCGCCTCGGCCGCCGAGTACGGCTTCCGCAAGGAGCGCGCGGCGCTGGAGCAGCTGCAGGGCCACCGGAACATCGGTAATGGCCGCGGCCGCGGGCCGTCCTCACGGTCGTGCGCTGGTGCGGGCACCGTCGCCTCCGCGTGGCCGCGCGCACGGGACCGCTCGCGGGGCGCGGGGCGCGGGGCGCCGGCTGACAGCCCGGTGCGGGGGGGGGCTCGGCGTTGCACAGGAGCCCCCTGCACGGGCGGCCGCGCGCGCTCTGCGCTCAGGGCTCGGCCGCAGGGCTGGGGTGCGGGGCGCAGGGTGCAGGCCGCAGGGCTGGGGCGCGGGGCGCAGGGTGCAGGCCGCAGGGCTGGGGTGCGGGGCGCAGGGATGGGGCGCAGGGCGCAGGGCTGGGGTTCAGGGCTCGGCCGCAGGGCTGGGGTGCGGGGCGCAGGGTGCAGGCCGCGGGGCGCAGGGCTGGGGTTCAGGGTGCAGGCCGCAGGGCTGGGGTGCAGGGTGCAGGCCGCAGGGCTGGGGTGCGGGGCGCAGGGTGCAGGCCGCAGGGCTGGGGCGCAGGGCGCAGGGCTGGGGTTCAGGGCTCGGCCGCAGGGCTGGGGTGCAGGGCGCAGGGCTGGGGTGCAGGCCTCGGGCACAGTGTGAATGGCACCGTCTTTGAAACCGGCCCTGGTCGTCCCGGCACCACAGTAACTAATTGTCCTTAGTTACGGCTTTGCCTGATCCCCGCTGACTTCCTGGGCACATCTTCTCAAGACGGGCCTTTTGGGGAAGAATTAGCATTAGTGGTTTGTTCGTTTTTTTAAGCTTGCTACATTTTGTATATAATCATGGTATTTAAGAAGGGATTTTTTTTTTTTTTTTTTTGGCATTTTTTGCAAGCCTAAGGATTTGTTGAATCTCGGAAAGAGTAGGTGAAAATGTTGTCTTCGAAAGTCTCTCTTTTTTTTTTTTCCTTTACTGATTTTAGAGAGAGAGAAGCATCAGTGAGAGAGAACATCGTTTGGCCACCTCCTGCATGCCCGCCACTGGGCTTTGGGCCCACAACCCTGGCATGTGCCCTGACCAGGAATCAAACCGGTGCCGTCTTGGTGCAGGGGTCAGGGCTCAACCACTGAGCCACACCAGCTGGGGAAAAGTCTCTTCTTTTAATATTTAAATGACAGAAGGCTATTCTGGATCAAAAACCAATCTTCAAATTTTGATTTCCCCCACTGTGACGTTCATCTTAAGAGAAGTACTTTATATTTGGATTTTTGCTCTTTAAAAAAATTTTTGCTTTTGATCATTTTGCTTGGCACCTGAGTGCGGGTGAAGAGTTATTGTGCCACGTTCAGTGTCTTGGAGTAGTGATCAGCTGCTGAAGGTGGTCTCACCTAATTTTATTAAATTATCCCAGTTGCCCAAAAATCTTATTCATGGGAAAAACAAATGACAGTGGAAGCTTCCTTGCCACTCTGCGGTGTCTGTCTGGACTCCCCTAGGTCTGTGCCCACTCACCCGCTGTAGCAGGGACTCCCTCTCAGTCTGGTTTCTAAAGGATGCATTCGTTCTTCCTAGTGACCCTGTACGGAGTCTTCACGATCCACTTCTCCCCCAGCGCGCCGTCGCGCTGCCTGCTGCTGGAGCTGCTGGACGTCAGCGTCTCGGAGCTGCTCCTGTACTCCAGCCACCAGGGCTGCTCCATGTGGATGATACAGCACTGTGCCCGGGACGTGCTGGAGGCCCTCGCTTTCCTTCACTGCGAGGGCTACGTCCATGCGGACCTCAAGCCGCGGAACATCCTGTGGAGTGCAGAGAACGAATGTTTTAAGCTCATTGACTTTGGACTTAGCTTCAAAGAAGGCAATCAGGTAAGAAGTACGTTCTCCCCACCCTGCCGTGGTCTAAGCCAGACGTTTTTAAATGGCAGAGGTGGGTTAGTAGAGGCTTGAGAGAGATTTCTAACCACAGTCATGAAGTTCCCGGGGATGAACCAAACAAAAAGGTTTTCATTGCCAGCATGCAAGAAGGGTATGTGTTTGGGTCAGGTCGGGGGGACTTGTGAAATACTAGTGGGCTCTGGAACTGTTGGGAGGAATTCCCTGTAGTTGCTTCTTTGTTCTTTGAGCATTTGATTACTTGCTGGATTATGGGTGTCTGCAAAGTTGGGGTTCATGGGAAAACACGGGTCAGTTCTGGCAAAGCCCCGTCGTCATGATCTGTCAGCTCTTTGCACAGCGTCCTTGTTTACCAGCAGTGCCTGGCAGGCGAGAGACTGCAGAGACGAGCAGCACCCGGCCCATGTGGCTCAGTTGGTTGGGCACCATCCCAGGCACCAAGAAGTTGCTGGATCAATTCCTGGTCAGGGCACATTCCCAGGTTGTGGGCTCAATCCCCAGTAGGGGGTGTGCAAGAGGCGGCCACTTGATGTTTCTCTCTCATCAATGTTTCTATCTCTCCCTCTCCTTTCCTCTCTCTAAAAAAATCAATAAAAACATATTAAGAAGGAAAGAAAGAAACGAGTAGCTCTCTGGAAAGTGTACAGCTTGCCGTGAGATCTGCTCTCCCAATCCGGGGGCACCGAAGAATCAGGGTGGCCAAGGACAGACGTTTGCGTTCAGTTGGCAGTAGGCACAGTGCAGGTGGACGGGTGGAAGAGGAGCAGTTTTCACTGGCTGCAATGTCTGCCCGTCTCCTTCAGGACGTGAAGTACATCCAGACAGACGGGTACCGGGCTCCAGAAGCAGAACTGCAGAACTGCATGGCCCAGGCCGGCCTGCAGAGCGACCCAGGGTGCACCTCGGCGGTCGACCTGTGGAGCCTCGGCATCATTCTGCTGGAAATGTTCTCAGGAGTGAAACTGAAGCACACCGTCAGATCTCAGGAGTGGAAGGTGACCAGTCCGCTGCTTGGCTGGGCTCCTCAGCCCCGTTTCAGACCCCTAGCATGCAGCGATTCCTGGTGGGGACTTTCCTGGTGGGGACTGCCCCACGTCCTCCCTTCCTCACTTCCTGCACTCTGCCCCCCCCCCCCCCAACGTTTCAGCTGCGCCGCTGGGCACTGTGCTCGCCAGTCCTGGGCTCGGGCCTGGCGTTGGAGTGAATGCCTTTTCCCAAAGAAGCAAAAGCGGTTTCTTTGCTCAGTAAGATAGTTCTAGTTCTTGCTAAGGCATCCCTAATTCAACAGTGCGTTATCTGTCAAGTGATATTCTTTACATCAGCTTACAGTTAATGCAGCGAACGTATCTTCATGCACAGTCTCATCGAATTCCCCTGACGGTTCTGTGCAGACGGTCGGAGGGCTGTCGGTCACGCTGCTGCAGGGAAGCGGAGGCTCAGCGGGAGAGCGCTGGCTCTGGCCGCACCTCGGCTCTGCCCCGGGTCTGCAGCCTCCTCTCCGCTCCAGGCCTGTGCTTTCCCGCTTACCTGACTGCTCACAGCACTTTCCTGTGGGACACGGGCTTGAGCTCCAACCTCCAGCTCAGGCGTGACCTGTGTCCCTGAGTCAGGAACTGACTGCTCTGCTGTGTGATGACATCAGTCTGTCAGGCGGAAGGTTCGGTAGCTGGCAGTGTTTAGGAATCACTGGTTTCGAAGTTAGACGTGTGTCGCTCTCAGACTGCAGGGAGGCCCTTCCTGGGAGGAAGGCGGTAGCACCCGGGGGCACCGGATGCTGCTGCTGCAGGAGGGTGCTGCCCTGCGAGTGACCAGCACCGCTCTTCGCCCGAGGTGCGCAGCCGTCAGGAGGCGAGTGTCTCCGCAGTGTTGCAGTGCAGGTCGGTCCTTGCACAGGCTCTGCTTGAGCCAGAGCTGATCAGAACGGGCTCACAGTCAGGCATGTTTTGGTGAAAATTGGGGCAGGATGTGTACTAGGACTCCCCAGTATTCACTTCCTAGATGAAGACAGCATTCTATATTTTACCACTTTCTCTGGAGGCAAAATTGCCAAGTGAGCGTAAGCACGGGCTCTGGGTCAGCCTGCCGGGGTTCAGGACTGCCGGGGTTCAGGACTGCCGGGGTTCAGGACTGCCGGGGCTCAGGACTGCCGGGGTTCAGACTGCCGGGGCTCAGGACTGCCGGGGTTCAGACTGCCGGGGTTCAGGACTGCCCGGGGTTCAGACTGCCGGCGTTCAGACTGCGGTGCGGCAGGACTGCACGGGGTTCAGACTGCCGGGGTGTCAGGACTTGCCGGGGTTCAGGACTGCCGGGGTTCACTGCCAGGGGCTAGGACTGCCGGGTTCAGACTGCCGGGGCTCAGGACTGCCGGGGTCCCGTGCCTCAGCCGGGGTTCAGACTGCCGGGGTTCAGGACTGCCGGGGCTCAGGACTGCCGGGGTTCAGACTGCCGGGGCTCAGGACTGCCGGGGTTCAGACTGCCGGGGCTCAGGACTGCCGGGGTTCAGACTGCCGGGGTTCAGACTGCCGGGGCTCAGGACTGCCGGGGTTCAGACTGCCGGGGCTCAGGACTGCCGGGGTTCAGGACTGCCGGGGTTCAGGACTGCCGGGGTTCAGGACTGCCGGGGTTCAGGACTGCCGGGGCTCAGGACTGCCGGGGTTCAGACTGCCGGGGTTCAGGACTGCCGGGGCTCAGGACTGCCGGGGCTCAGGACTGCCGGGGCTCAGGACTGCCGGGGTTCAGGACTGCCGGGGCTCAGGACTGCCGGGGTTCAGACTGCCGGGGTTCAGACTGCCGGGGTTCAGACTGCCGGGGCTCAGGACTGCCGGGGTTCAGACTGCCGGGGTTCAGACTGCCGGGGCTCAGGACTGCCGGGGCTCAGGACTGCCGTCAGGACTGCCGGGTTCAGACTGCCGGGGCTCAGGACTGCCGGGGTTCAGACTGCCGGGGTTCAGACTGCCGGGGTTCAGGACTGGCCTCCAGCCATTCATTTAGCATCACGAAACCACCCTTCACCTTCTGTACGACGAGGGTGGTAATAGCACGTCTCACGAGAGCACTGAGGGTAGAGGGAGCGCACGCCTGTGGGACACGGGCGGGCACTTCGTGATGACAGCGTCGGGCTGTGTGCCCGGGGAGGGGGGTGTGCTGCTCCGCAGAGGTCACTGAATGACGTGACAAACGCGGTTTTTAAATAGTGCCTTTTTCTCCGTGAGAGTTTATTTTATTTGTATCTGAAAACCTACTGAAGACTCGCCACCGAGACCCGGGTTCGCCCAGAGCAGCTGCATCTCCCTTCGCTTGGTGCTTGGTGCTCGTTTCTCTTCACCTCCGGCGGAGGCTGGTGGCGGCCAGGGCGGTGCCCATGCTGAGAGCAGGACACGGCGGTCGAGCTCACGGAGGAGGGTTCTGTTGCATCTCACCAGCCAGTGCCTGGTGCTCAGGACGTAGGGACTGGGTTGAAAACTGAAGGAAGACTTCTCTCCCTCTCTTCAGGCGAACAGCTCTGCTGTCATCGATCACATTTTTGCCAGTAAAGCCGTGGTGAACGCCGCCATCCCAGCCTATCACCTCAGAGACCTTATCAAGAGGTGCGTTGTGTGTGCGTTGGCTGTTCTCGCCTGAACAGGACTCGCTGCTGTTTGTGGTTTGCTCACGTGGAGGTTTCCTCCTTAGAGACTGGCGTGCCTGAGCGCTGAGCGCAGCCAGCTCTCTGCAGAAGCCGAGGGTCATGTCACTTTACTGGGTTCACTGTCCAAGGAGTGTCCTTCTGTTCCTGTGGGTCCCAGACTGCAGGCTCTTCCTGGCAGCGGTTGGTTCTGTGGGGACAGAGGGTGGGCTCTCGGAGCCCTGGCTGCCTGTGTCCTTGACGGAAGTAGAGTCTCTATAAACACGACTGCGTGTTCTTTGAGTCCCCAGAATCATTTCAGATGAGGTCATCGTGGATTACACCTTAAATTGCTGCCATTGGAAACTGCAGACAGAGCAGTGGTTCTGATATCTCAGTAGATCCAGTCATAGTAGATATTTTAAATAAGAAATAATGTGTTTTATCGACTAGTTGATTTTTCACAGTTCTAGCACTTGTGGCCCAGACGTGAATAAAATAAATAGTGGGCTGCAGACGGGTGGGTCTCCCGATCAAGTCAAAGTATTGTTGCTTCTTTGGACTATTGATCCTACACATTTTCCAATGAATTTTTCTTTTTTCTTTTGAAATAATGATAGAGTCATAGGAAGTTGCAGAAATGTTGAAGTGTGTCCCCCGTGGTGACTTCTTAGTGACCGTCCTGCAGGATCAAACCCTGATGGATGTAGCGCGTGGGCTTGCTCCCACCAGCCGCGGGCCGGTGTTGCGAGGCCCAGAGCCGAGGTCCTGCCCATCAGGCCCCAGAGGGTTCTCGTTCTCACTGCCTCGGGATGGGGGGGCTGCTTACTCCAGCGAGGACGTGCTGGCCTTGGGTCATTGTCTCTGGCTCCTCAGCTCAGCTGCTGCCCCCCTGCTCTCCCGCCCAGGGGTGCGCGTCTCCCCACGGGGGCTTGTGCTCGCCGCCTGTGTCTTGGCATTTATCAGGGTTACCTCGTTCTGCGATATATCAAGTTGCTCTGTTTTTGTTTTTATTAATTTATTTTTGTTATAGATGTTTTTCCTTTTTCCCTCATTGGCACCCTCTTCCCAATCAAGGTGCTCTGTTTTTTTTATCCTCACCCGAGGACATTTTTCCATTTTTTGTTCAGATAGAGCGGGAGGGGGGGGGGGGAGAGAAAGAGAGAGAGAGAAACATCGACGTGAAAGGGACACATCGAGTGGCTGCCACCCACACAACCTAACCAGGGCCGGGGACAAACTGCAACCGAGTTACATCCCCTTAGCGGGAACCGAACCCGAGACTCTCTGGACCGCAGGTTGACACTCTAACTGCTGAGCCAAACCGGCCAGGGCAAATTGCTCTGTTTTTGACAAGATTCAAAAGTCACTTCACCACTGTTTTTTTAAATTGGATCATTCAATCTATTTAGCTTCTCTTTCACTTAATGTACAGTGAGGACCCTTTCTTATGTATTCATTGATCAAAACTTTTTAAAGTTGACACACACCATCACGTCCTGGTCTGTGTCTGACTCGCTGAGCTGTTTGTGGTGAACAGCACCTGGCTGCCCAGCGGAGGGACTGGGTGCGTCCCTCTGCAGGCAAGTGCGTGACGAGCAGTCGGCTTCAGCCCTCGGCGTCGCGTGTCAGGTGCCTGGCGGGTCTGTGTTTCAGCATGCTGCACGACGACCCGAGCCGGAGGACACTGGCCAGCGCAGCCCTGGGCAGCCCCTTCTTCAGCATCCCCTTCGGTGAGTGCCGCTCTGCGCCGCCTTGGTCACGTGGACGGAGGCACGTTCCTCGGGTTCACCCCTAACGTGTCCTGATGAACCCCAACAGCTCCTCACATCGAAGACCTGGTGATGCTCCCCACCCCGGTGCTGAGGCTGCTCAACGTGCTGGACAGCGACTACCTCGAGAGCGAAGAGGGCTATGCAGGTCCGTGGCCCCCGTGGTTCCCGTGCCCCTCAGTCCGCAGTGGGCGCTCAGCAGGTGTCAGGCTCGGGTCCCCGGGCCCCGACAGTGAGGGGACCGAGCTCGCTGGTCTCAAACACTCAGGGTCCTGCTCAGACCATGTCCCCGAGAGTCCACATGGCAGAGCCCTGTTCCCTCGTGTGATAGTGTTTGGAGTTGGAGCCAGTTTTGGTCAGTCTGAAGGGGAGGCATGCAGAGTCGAGTGGTCTGTGAGGGGTACCCACAGGGCTGCACCTGAGCCCAGCAGTTGCTGGCTGAGGCCGAGGCTGAGGCTGAGGGTGGGGAGAGAGCAGCCCAGAGACCGGGGGGGGGGGGGGGAAGGCATGTTCGGGAGCAGCGGGTGGTTTGGTGTGGCTGCATCATAGGGCATTCACCAGGGAGCAGTCAGTTTGCTGTGTTGAAGGACTTGATTTTATCCCAGAAGTCACAGCCCTGGGGCATGCATGCTCAGGGCTCTGCGTGCACAGTGCTCTGCGTGCTCGGGGCTCTGCGTGCTCGGGGCTCTGCGTGCTCAGGGCTCTGCGTGCTCAGGGCTCTGCGTGCTCAGGGCTCTGCGTGCTCAGGGCTCTGCGTGCTCAGGGCTCTGTGTGCTCAGGGCTCTGCGTGCTCAGGGCTCTGCGTGAGGCACAGTGCGGCTCTGCTGCTGTCAAAGGGCACGGGGAGCCGGCCCAGGTGCACAGTGGAGAGTGGACTGACCAGGGCCAGACCGAAAAGTGCCCCTGCTCAGTGGGGACATCCTTACGGGTGATCGAGCCGCTTCTCGCGGGCCATTGGCTGTCCCTGGGCCTCACAAGTTACCTGACAGATGAAACGCAGGTCACTCTGAGCCAGCGACAGTGCTGCAGCCTCGACCCTTCAGGACGCCTCCTTACCTGAAGGACGGCCGTGCCCTCGGCGTAGCTTAAATAGGTCGTCCCAGTGCGGTGGGCTGTGTCCTCCTGGGATTCCATCTCGACACACTCGGGCTGGGCTTTCTGAACCAGACCAGGTCCGCACTTCGCTTCTGTCTTGCTCGGTAGCACTTGTTTTTGCTCCTAAACACACCAAGTGTTTGAAGTTTGTTTGAATGTAGATATTAAGTCTCAGTGTCTAAGTGTCTCACATGAACACCTTTGTTCTGATTAGAAGGTTATTGTCAAGTTACGTTAAATTAACTTTAGGTAAGTTTGCTTAGTTAACGTGTGTGGGAATAACTGTCCTGTCATCTTGGTGGGGTTGGGTAAGGAAGTGAGACTCAAATCTTCCCCTTAGACCAAGATAAATTCTCAATCAAGTGAACACTAAAATGTAAAAAAAAAAAAAAAGAAAGAAAGAAGGGAGAGAATAATAAAGGGACAGAAGGAAAAGAGAAAGGGAAAGAAGACACATGGGAATAAAGGAATAATTAACTTAAAAGTCATGGGAGATTTTTAAAAACAATATTTCTGGAGCAGTAAAGGCCTCTTACAAGTTTCTCACAGAACTCAGTGCAGTAGATGGTAATTCAGCAAATTTCACCTTGACAAAACCACCGTGAGAAGATAGAAGACAAGTAACAGTCCAGGAAGAAATAGTGCGAGGTAGTGCTGACAGAATCCCCGGGCGGTGCAGATCAGCGCGCCCTGGCCTGCCGCTTGTAGGAGGCAGCTGTGCAGGCTGCCCTGTGGCCCGCTGGTCGTGATGGCAGAGGACTCGGAAGTCGTCTAATTCAGCAGTGGGAGACGTTGCAGGCTGAGCCGTTCGGAGTGGAGTGCTACAAAGCTGGAAGCCACAAGGGGTTTCATGTAATGACGTCGAACGGTCTGAAAGGATCAGTGTCAGTAAAGAAAGGGCAATGTGGGAGCTTCTCACCCGGAAACGTACTCGTATTTCTGGTACGAGCGCGTATTTACGGGAGGGCACGGAAGAAATGATGTTTGTTGACCTCGGGGAGGGGCCGGAATGGAAGCTGGAAAGGGGGAGGGGTACTGCTTTTCTTAGATTTTTGATTTTGAATCATTTGAATGTATTAGCCACTCAGGGCATTAAAGTATAAAAAGAAACTATATTATACTCAAGCTTAATATTCAGAGGTATAGAAAGTGATCTCTGCTTAGATGTGGATTCCTGAATTCTTTGATGAGGCCCAGTTTTAAATCGTGGTCTGGCTAATCCACCGGTGTTGCTGTTGTGTTTGGATGCGCAGATGCCGTGGAGGACGTGAGGGAGGTGTGTCAGAAGTATGGGCCGGTGGTGTCGCTGCTGGTTCCGAAGGAGAGCCCTGCCCGGGGACAGGTATGTGGGCGCTCAGCCCTACTCAGGCGGCGGGGAGGCCCCCGAGGTGCTGCGGGTCTGTAGGAAACGTAGCAGAAGTGTTGCTAGGGGTTATGAAGGTTTCCTTGTGGAGGCTTTATTTTCTTGTACTTTTCACTTTCCCCAGAAGTTCTGTCATATGTGCACATTTATCAGTTAGTATTTGTTTTTCAAAAAGCATTCATCTGCTTCTGAGCAGTTGTAAACGGTGACGCAGACAGAATCACATGCTGATCTGGGTCAGGTGTGGCTGCAGAAATAGTTTGGCCCAATTTTATTCTGATTTATTTATTTCTATTTTTTATTCTCACCCAAGGTCATTTTTGCATTTATCTTCAGATAGAGCGGGAGGGAGACAGGGAGGAAGAGAGAGAGAGAAACATCGATGTGAGAGAGACACATTGACTGGTTGCCACCCGCGTGACTCCACTGGGGCTGGGGACAAACTGCAACTGAGGTACGTGCCCTTAGCGGGAACCAACCAAACCTGAGACTCTTCCGTCTGTGAGCCGACGCCCTAACCGCTGAGCCAAACTGGCCAGGGCCCAATTCTGTTCCAGTGGAGTCAGAAAGCATTTATGTTAGCCTGCCTGTTTGGCTCAGCGGTTAGGAGTGTCGGCCCACAGACCAGGGAGTCATGGGTTCGATTCCAGTCAAGGGTGCGTACCTTGGTTGTGGTTTGTCCCCAGCCTTGGTCACTGTCTTGTGGGAGGCAACCAATTAATGTGTATCTCACATCAATGTTTCTCTCTCTCCACTCTGCCCCTCCATCTGAAAACAAGTGGAAAAATGTCCTAGGGTGAGGATTGACAAAATAAAACATTTAGGTTATGTTCTGATTACAACAGAATTACCAGCCATCTGAATTCCAGTCCCAGTGTGACCAGCTGTGTGACAGCTTAGTTTTTGCATCTGCAGAACGTTTGGGCTAAAACTCAGATCACAGGGTTTTCCTTAGAAACACTGGCCCCGAATTGAACTGTGGCAGAAGAGGCGGGAGAGCTCCCTCTGCCTGCGTGGTTTCACAGTGTCCCGTCAGGGTTTCCCAGCCGCAGCGCTGAGGACGTGTGGTCTGCGTGGTCCTGCTCGGGCTGCCGCGTGCACTGTGGACTGTCTGGGTGGGGAAGGGGACAGACCTGGGAAGAGAGTTCCAGGCAGAGGGCCCAGGGTCCAGTGCTCAGTTTACCAATGAGTGGACATTACATTTAAAAACTGCCTGACGTCAAGCCCCAAATGAGGACGTTTCGGTCAACCCTAAGGCGTGGGCTGTCTGTGAGGTGCAAGGAAGCTGCTCAGCCGTCGGCGCTGTCTCCAGCCACGTCCAGCACTGCCTGCACTCCTGTGCGAACTGGGCAAGGCCGTATGTTGTGACCCAACTGGTCTTTGTTGGATTTTTGGAATCAGCTGAGTTCTAAGGAAGCGTTCTGAATCATTCTGAATCTTTCTGCTTAGAAATGTGGTCCCGGCCCTGCCCAGTGTGGCTCAGCGGTTAGAGTGTTGGCTCGTGGACCATGAGTCGTGGGTTTGATTCTAGTCAAGGGCACGAACCTTGGTTGCGGTACATCCCCTGGTTGGGTTGTGCAGGAGGCAACCAGTCGATGTGTGTCTCTCACATAGATGTTGCTCGCTCTCTCCCTCCCACTCTATATGATGATAAACAGAAAAATATCCTTGGGTGAGGATTGAAAAAAAAAAAACGTGGTCCACAGACCAGCACCATCGGCATACCCGGGAGTCTGCTCAGACACGGGCTACGGAGTGCGTCCCGGAGCAGCCGGAGCCACGGAGCCTGTGCTTGCTGTCTCCGCAGGTCTTTGTCGAGTATGCCAACGCCGGAGACTCCAAAGCTGCTCAGAAGTTGCTGACGGGAAGGGTGTTTGATGGGAAGTTTGTCGTGGCTACGTTCTACCCGCTGAGTGCCTACAAGAGAGGGTACCTGTACCAAACCCTGCTTTAGTCTGAGCTTGGGCACGTCCTGTCTCCTCGTCCATTTCCCAGGTGGTTGTCTTCTCACCCACATGCCGGAGCACTCCTTCCTGTCGTGAGAGGACACCTTGTACATTTGTTTCACCTGCTAACGTGGCCGTTGCTCAGGCCGTGACCACCTGCAGACACGGGCGCTGGGCAGGACGGGGCCTCTCCGCTGCCCCGTGAGGGTCCCTGCTGTGTGCGGCCTCAGGCACTTGTCATTGCGTGTGGTCGTGAGGCAGGAGCGACGGACCACGTCCCCATGAGCACGGACACACTGTTGGAGTGGGGACATCCCCTGCACAGCTCTCCTGTGTCGTCCGTGGTGTTACCTCCTTGTCCCACACTGAGTCACAGATTCGTCGAGAAGCCCTGCCGTGCTGGACAGCCCTGTGAGGGGCTGCAGGGAGCCTGCCCACCGCTGTGGAAGCGAGGCCTCTGGCCAGAGAGCTGCACGCGCGTCCACAGCCTGTGTCGGTGTCTGCTCGAGTGAGGGAGGTGTGTGAGAGGACCCGGCTGGGTCTCCTGTGCGCCCGTGAGCTGGCCCTGTCCACCCCCACCTCTGCCCACCTGTGCACACCTGCGGCACTCAGAGCTGGCCTGCCTGGTAGAAGGTAGAGGAGAAACGGGTTCATTCCTGGAGGGTTCAGAACAAGTGAGCCTAGACTGGGCTCTGCTGCAGTCTCTCAGCTTCGTGGTCGGAGCAGAGGAAGCGTTGTGCCTCCCGCGGGCCCCCCGTCCTGCATGCGCTCCTCCCGCGCCTCCTGTGGTCACTGTCGGTTTTCTCAAGGTGTGGTTCTGCCTGACGTGCTCAGAAGAGAAAGAATTAGATGTCCAGTGATGGGAAGAGAAAGGTCAATACACAGAGGGTGGGTGACCAAGGGTGGTTCTGTTCCGGTCCCCGCCCCCTTCTCGGCCTCTTCTCCTTCGCTGACGAGAAGCCAGAGTGACCTTGTCCCACGTGCTCTGGTCTGGAGGCACGAGTCCAGACAGGTTAGCGAAGTGGGAGGGAAGGAAAGCGCCGCTGAGCAGAGGGGCTGGGCCGAGGGCGTGGACACGGGTGGCTGGGCTTCCCGGCACCATGGGGATTGTCTTCGAGGGTTTAACCCTTAGGGAACCTTTATAAAGCACTGATCGAAGTGTACAGAGTATGCATCTTTGTTTCCTTACCTAAACGAGATTCTATTTATTTATCTTTCCCAGAGAAGCTGTCTGTGTATTTCCCCGCGGGAAGCCGCCTGTGCACATGCAGGCCAGCGGGCCCTCGACCTCGAGAGCCCGGGCAAACGTCCGCTTTGGAGCGTGACTTCTGCTCCCCTGGGCAACAGTGACTGATAGTTTTTCACAGTTACCAGGTTATCTCGGGCTCTTTCTTAATATTTATTATGAAGCCAGGTCTGGTGTCAGGGGCTCTGAATTGCAGAGGCCTGTGGCACGGTCCCCGGGGAAGTTGTACACGAGCTGCTAGTATGAGCCCTGAGGAGGAAGGACGCGTACATTTCATTTTGGCCCTTTCCGAGGTTGATGAGCTGATGTTTTTCAAAAACTAGCTCGAGAATATACCCAGCAGGTGGAGACCTAAGCCTTCCTAAAACCACGTGTGGGCGGCAGCATTCGGGTACAGACAGACGCACACGACAGGCGAATTCCTTCCCAGGGCGGGTGCTCAGCTGAGCTCTGCGCCCCCCCTTCCCCACCCCCACCACCAGATCCCAGTCCCGGAACACTGCCGGAGGGCTTCCAGGCTTAGGTCGCAGGGCTGCCGACCTCGCAGTGAAGTGAACCTCACCGTGGTTTCCGTGAACTGCACAGTGCCCTGTGTTCAAGCATGTGTGGTGGTTAGCACTAGGGTTTTATTACAGAAGATGCTAACTAGATTTTAAGGGAGCTGAGGGAATACTTGATGAACCTAAATAACCGTTTATTGAATTAAATATTTTTATTAAAGCCACAGAATTGAAAAGATGCCTCCTATGACTTAAATTATTAGCTCTTAGCCCATGACTACCAAAGATATTTGTAGGTTCTCCCTCTTCACACATGATCAGAAGTTCAGTCTTAGTATCTTTCTCAAACCTCAACCAAATATTTTCAAAGATGCAATTTCTATGATTCTTTCAGGATGAAATATAGACACATATTTAGATCCTTTGAAATGATTAAAAACTTAGAACTCTTCTCTTTGAGAGGTCGGTAAAGAGGTGAGGGCCCCTGTCACTTAACCCTACCCTTGTGGGGATATTTGATCTCAGGTAGTTTTTCTTCCCTGAATGAGAATCAGCTTCCCTTCCCTCCCCAGTTTCTTCATTGTCCCAGTGTCCTGCTGTGTGTTTGCCCAGAGCCTGTGCGTTGATTCTGTGGACTTTGCAGGCAGCACTTGCCCAGCCTGTGGGAGGAGGAGCACCAGGCAGCACTGGGCGGGAGGGACACTGGAAGCAGCTCCTGGGGCTCGTCCTCCGCTGGGCTTGGGCACAGCGCCGAGAGCGCCCTCTGCTGGGTCGGGGTGGAGCTGCGGCTGCTCTGCGCCTCCTTCCCGGGGCTCAGGGCTGGAGTGTGGACCTCCATTCAGTGGGGCTGCAGACTGGCGAGGCTCTGTTTACTGGGTCGTATGTAACCGCTGAGCAAGTTTATTTTAAGGGACGCTGCCACCAACAGTGCTGCCGCGAGGGGCCTGCCATGGGGTGCTTCCGGCTCATTACCTGGCCTCCCGTGCCCTGCACTGATCACCTTTCTGGATGAGTGGCAGGCTCCCCTGGCACCCGGCTTCAGTTCATTCATCAAACGCAGGTTGCTGACACTTTGGCATAATTTTCTTCCTAGGTCTTATTTTTTTTACTGTTAAGTTAGGCCTGTTTTACATAATTTCTGCTATCGGGTACACTTGGCAGTGTGAGTTGTGTGTGTGTGTAATTGAATGAAAAACAGCACCGTAGTGATGGGTAGGACTGCAAGGGTTTCCTGGGGAGGGAGTGGGGAGACGCTCAGGGACCTCGGCTGTCCGCAGGTGCGGCTGGGTGTCTTTGTTCGGGGCAGGGCCAAGGTGGGGTCCCCAGGCTGCACCTGGGGAGCAGGTGTCAGACTGAAGCAAGGGCCTTGTTCCCAGAAAACAGACTCGTTGGGGCGAGCGCTTCCCAGACTGTGACCGTCAGCTGCACCTCTGGCTTTTCCTTCGGGTAACTTTTGGGCGGAGTCACAGAGTGAAATGTCCAGAATGTCCTTGGTTTACCTTTGTGTGTGTGACCCTGTCCTATTTAATTTCCTCAACATAGCACCTGAGGGACCAGAGCTGCTGGGCAGACTGATTCTCTGGTGTCTGGTTCCACTTGGACTTCAGGCCCCGACAGCCCTGCCCCGCCCGCCCGAGCAGTCTGTGTGTGTTTCTTGTCATGTGGTCATGCCCCCGGGTTGGGCACGTCCCTCCTCCAGGTGCTGGGCTCCGCACTGTTCATGAGCGGGCGGCTCTTCCACGGCCTCTGACCCCTGTTCTCCCTGAGGATGAACCGCACCTCCAGGGCAGGGACCTCCGAGCCTCTGCAGTGCGGGGAGGCACATCTCCGCAGGGGTGGGGCGTGGGGGGGCGTTTCTGAAGTGCCCAGATCTGAAGGTGTATTTAGGTTAGGTTAGGTTAGGTTGGGGTTAAGTTGGGTTAGGTTAGGGTTAGGTTAGGTTTGGGCCAGGTTGGGTTAGGATTAGGTTGGATTAGGGTTAGGTTAGGTTAGGTTAGGGTTAAGGTTAAGTTAGGGTTAGGTTGGGTTGGGGTTAGGTTAGGTTGGGTTAGGTTAGGTTGGGTTAGGTTAGGTTGGGTTAGGTTAGGTTGGGTTAGGTTAGGTTAGGTTAGGTTAGGTTGGGGTTAGGTTAGGGCCAGGTTGGGTTAGGATTAGGTTGGATTAGGGTTAAGTTAGGTTAGGGTTAAGGTTAAGTTAGGGTTAGGTTGGGTTGGGGTTAGGTTAGGGTTAGGTTAGGGTTAGGTTAGGTTAGGTTGGGTTAGGTTAGGTTAGGTTGGGGTTAGGTTAGGGCCAGGTTGGGTTAGGATTAGGTTGGATTAGGGTTAGGTTAGGTTAGGGTTAAGGTTAAGTTAGGGTTAGGTTGGGTTGGGGTTAGGTTAGGGTTAGGTTGGGTTAGGTTGGGTTAGGTTAGGTTAGGTTGGGGTTAGGTTAGGGCCAGGTTGGGTTAGGATTAGGTTGGATTAGGGTTAGGTTAGGTTAGGGTTAAGGTTAAGTTAGGGTTAGGTTGGGTTGGGGCTAGGTTAGGGTTAGGTTAGGTTGGGTTAGGTTAGGGCCAGGTTGGGTTAGGATTGGGTTAGGTTAGGTTGGGGTTAAGGTTAGGTTAGGGTTAGGTTGGGTTGGGGTTAGGTTAGGGTTGGGTTAGGGTAGCTCCTTGGTGCCCAGCACAGGGTGCACATTGTCTGTTACCATGTCTTATATTTGTTTGAAATGCATGACAACCAGTAGATTCACACAGTGCTGTGCCGTTGACAAGTACTCTGGATCGTGAAATAGGAGACAAAACACTTTTAACTATTTTTGCTGCAATTTCATAGGAGCAGCCATCTGCTGAAAGCAAGTGTCCCCCAGAGCAGAGCGCTAGGGCCTCTCATGCGATAGGGTCGTGCAGGTGAGGGCAGGGCACACGGCACTCTCCAGCGAGCGGCTCCCTGCAGCTCGGCCCCTGGGTGTGTCTCGCGCTGCTCTGTGCTGGGGTCTGTGGGGTCACCAGACTCGGAGTGTTGTTTCCCACGTGTAGTGCGGCTGCCACCGTGTCCTGAAGACGCCGACAGCTTTTCTGACGGCCACGCGTGTTTTTTGACCTGGGTTGATGGTATTTCAATCTCAAGGCAAAGAGAAACATCCTGTCTTATTTGCCTTAATAACATTAATCCGTGTGCAGAAAAGAGCTCATTTTGTTAATGAAAATCAGTCATGTTCTGGATAAAAAGAAAAACCCAACTGAATTGTAAATTTTTCTGTTTCTTTTTGGAAACCTTGTGTAAACATCAGAACTGGATGGGACCGTGGACTCTGGTCGTCAGCAAGAGAATTATTTGTAGGCACTTTTGTTCCCCAGGTTGGAATCGTCCTCCGCTGTTAGGTGATCCCCGAAACTGCGCTGTCAGGACAGCAGGTGTGCCGGGCGGGGCGGGCGGGGCGGGCCTCTGCAGCTGAGTCGCTGCTGGTGTGCACCGGCAGCCGCCGCCCTTGGGGAGCGAGGATGAGAGCGCAAGCGCAGCGGCGGCCGAGAGGGAGAGCGGCCTGCTTGCTGGCGCCAGTGCCCTTTCTTCGGGTCCGCGTTAGACGAGATTCCTGCCCTGGCCAGCCTGGCCCGCAGACTGAAGGGTCACAGGGTTCGATTCCTGGTCAGGGCAGGTGCCTGGGTTGCAGGTGTGATCCGCAGCCCGCAGGGCAGCCAGTCGACGTGTCTCTCTGACATCGATGTCTCTCTCCCTCCCTACACTCTGTGTAGAAATTAATGGGAAAATTCCTCAGGTGAGGATTAAAAAAAAAAGATTCTTCTCTGAAATTCAGGTTTGGTTCCTGTGGTGGAGAAACATGTCCTTTCCTACACATTCCTCATTATTTACCCAGGAAGTTTCTTTGACAGTGTGTGGAACCAGACCGAGCGCCCCTCGCACTCGGGCCTGGTTTTTAAAGACGAACACACGGCGTCCAGCTCCTGTGCATGCGCGTCGACACCCCGTGAACCAGGGGCCAGGCCCCCCGCGCCCTCCCTCGCACGAGGCGCAGGGCTGCTGTGGGAAGGCGGAGTTGATGAGAAGGGCTGAGCTCTGGGGCGGAGCCGTCATGCACTTTCCACTGGGGTTGCTCCTTCGTTCCTCCTTCTTGAAACCTTAACTCGTTTTGCATTCCTGCGTGTACTGTCAGCCGCGTCCAGTCTGGGGTGGGAGGACTTGCCCAGCGAGGCCTGTCTGTCATCCTTGTCTCTCGAGAAGCAGTGTGACCACAGGTTGTCACGTGTGTGGCTTCCGGCAGCAGCACCGGAGCTGGGCTGTACCTGTGCCGGCTGCTGTGTCCCCCATGCGGTCGGCTGCCCCTGCGGTCGGTCAGCTGCCCCTGCAGTCGGTCGGCTGGGGAGTGTGGCGACCCCTTCAGCCCAGCCCGTGGGCTTGCCCGCCCTGACACCTGCAGGGCCGTCACGTGGTGAGTTGACCTGCCCACCTCACAGGTGGTTTCGCACAGTGGTCTTGGGACTGCCTGGCCCTTGGCTCTCTGTTCGTGGTGACGTCTTGTCTGTGAGCTGTTTTCATGACCAGGTGTACAGGGCGTAGCTGTGGTTGGTGCCGGCACATCCTTCCCTCAGGCCCCCAGTCGGGGCCCTCTCCGCAGCCTTCAGCACCATGTCCCTCGCCAGGGAGCAGAGCCTCTCCCGCTGCCCCGCGCACGAGGAGCTGCGCCCGGGCGTGTGCTGTGCGCCGAGAGCCTGTGTGAGCGCACCGCCCGCCCAGCGAGCCGACGCCCCTGGACTGCTGCTGATGTCGCTCCTGTGTGTGTGATGAGGGTGACGAAATAAAGCTTAAAAATAGAGAAACAGCTTTGTTATTTGTTATTTCCGTTTCTTCTGCACTCAGTACAAGGGGTCAAGTGAGAGCAGTAAGTGCTTACGTGGGACCTGAGGCTGTGGCAAGTTGCTTCTGTGAAAGTTCACGTGGCCTTAATGTTGGGAGCTGGGTTTTCATCTCCTGCTGCAGAGACGATGCGCCTGCGCCCAAGGCCCGCGAGCCGTCCGGTTGGGCGCCCTGTGCTGGCCGCGCAGACGGAGTTCACATCGAGCTGCTTCCTTGTGACCTGCGGCATTCACGGCAGGTGAGCGGCTCCCTGGGGCCACCCACCGTTTCCACGCTCGGACCAGGCACCTGCGCCACGTGGCTGCACACGTGCTTCACAGACCACACATGGCGCCGTGCGTGTGCTTCCAGACCTCACTGAAGTGGCAGGGCCCCGGAGCAGCGCAGAGGACGTGGCGGGGAGGAGCGTGCCTGTGGACGCCGCTGGGCTGCGAGGGCTGCGGGGCGGGGCCAGGGCCTCCGCGCCCACCAAGTGGCCCAGGTCACGCTGCGGGAGGGCTGGTGTCGGCTCCCGGCTGGGAGGCAGCCGAGGGCGGAGGCAAACATCGCCGCAGAATTGACATTTAAGACCACGCACCTTGAAGTGAGCTCGGTGACCGATGGAGGAAAGTGAGGCTGAGTTTCCAGACCCTTTCGAAGGCGGAGCTCATGGAACGGCGCCGCGTCTCAGATGGAACGAGCCGTTTTCGAAGGCCTGGGACAGCGGCCACCTGAGCGGCCCAGTCCCGAGCAGCGGGTGGCTGGGAGACTGGTCTGCTGCGGTAGTTGCTTTGTGCAGAACGGCAAACGCGTGTTTAGCTGCATGTTAACACTCTCAAAGGTGTTAAGAGAGAAAGGTCATGCGTGTAAAGGCCAATCTTTCGGGAGGAAAGCCGAGTTCAGGGGAGCAGAGGTGGAGCTTTGGGATCGAAGGGGTGCCACCAGCCCCCGCCTGTCTGTCCTGGAGCACCAGCCCTCTGGGGCTGCTGAGAGGCTGGACTGGCGGGGCGGGAAGTGGCCTGCACTGGCCGGCGGCTGCTGACTGGTCCGTGTTCTGGAGGAGCCTGTGGACAGGAGGAGCTGGAGGTGCGAGCTGACAGCAGCTCCCCTGGCACCTGCACCCGCCTGGGGTCCGCATGGCCCGCGTTCCCCAACCTCCTGAGGGTGGGCAGTGAAAGTCCCTCTGAGCCCTTTGGAAGTCACAGACCCTCTGCACCTGCTCCGCCCTCGGGACCCTGCCCTCTGCCACCACCTTGTCGCAGCCTGGGAGTCAGCCGACGCAGAGACGGCCACACACAACACGTGCTCTCCTGTGCTGCCTCCGCGGCCTCTGCGACCCCCCACCCGGCGCCCAGTCTGTGTTCACAGTGTCCACTGAGAGCGTGCGGGTGTTAGCGCCCGGGCACAGCCGGGGAGACCCAGAGCGTGCAGGTGTTAGCGCCCGGGCACAGCCGGGGAGACCCAGAGCGTGCGGGTGTTAGCGCCCGGGCACAGCTGGGGAAACTAGCTCAGGTTCCTGTGTCCCTGTCCTTGTCATTCAACCACTGCCGACACCTCATGAAGCATGTTCTCCTCGGGGAAGCGGTACCAGCTGGAGCGTCTCACCTGTGCATCCCAGGGATCCCCAACCTGCACACCCTGGCAAACCCTGAGCACCCCTGAGAAGCTGTTTCAGGAGTGAGCCCTGAGAATGACCCGTGTCACTTTTAGCAATGAACAGGCCCAATGAAATGTCCTCGCCTGAGGACATTTTCCCATTTTTTGTTCAGATAGAGTGGGAGGGAGAGAGAGGAAGAGAGAGAAACAGCAACATGAAAGGGACACATCGAGTGGCTGCCACCCGCACGACCAACCAGGGCCGGGGACAAAGTGCAACCGGGGTACGTGCCCCTAGTGGGAACCGAACCCGGGTCTCTCTGGACCGCAGGCCGACGCTCTAACCGCTGAGCCAAACCGGCCAGGGCCATAGTCGGTTTTAAAAATTTCTGTCTCTAATTAAATTTTCTTTTTTTAAATAATTTTTATGGATTTTTTTAGAGAGAGAAACATTTATTGGACGCCTCCTATTTGTCTCCCACTGGGGATCGGGCCAGAAACCCAGGCA